GTGGCCAGGAAATAAAATGTTCGCCTGAGTGGATTTCAATTCAGTCAGTACGGACTTGCTTCACGGTCTCCCTTCCACGCCCTGTTCTTTGCCTTCTTAGCACTTATCACAGCTCATAATCAGAGTGTGTTTAATCTGTCTCCTCCCACACCAAGAGCTCCAGGAACACAGGGACTGTGTCTGCCTTGCTCACCACCGAGTCCCCAGCACCAAAAACAGTGCCTGAACATAGCAGGCAGTCAAGAAAAGCTTGTCTGTTCATTCAACAAATGCCTACTGATGCCAATGACTGCCAAGGACTGTGTTAGGCTCCTTACCCTCAGAGGTTGACAGTCCTTGGTGAACACAAACAATAAACAAGCAAATGGACAAACAAATGTTTATTACTTGTAGGGGAGACAGCTTCCATACGACAAATAATGACTGAGTTTTTAAGTCCTTACACGCATGCATCAGTGACCAGGACAAAAACCCCTCTCCTCAAGGAGCTGCCACCGAGCTCCTTCCCATTTCAGGCTCTGTCTGGGCTCTTCCTGTTCCCTCCAGCAAGGACCCTCTCCCCAGATCTTCCCCAAGGCTGGCTCCTTTCTATTTCGGCCTCAGCTAAAATATCATCTTCTCCAGGAGGCCTTCCCTGACTACCTATTCAAACGCACCTCGCACCCAAATCACCTTCACACCACCCATTTTTTTCTTTACAGCAAACATTTTCTGGTTGACATTTTCTGATTTATTTGGTTAATGTGCCCTCCCCAACCCCCGTAAATCCCAAAAGGACTCCAAGAGGCCTTTGTGGGATTTCATCTCCCGCTGAGCTTGGTGCCCCGAGCTGATGAAGACCACACAGGGGCGATCCTAACTAACCCGGGCAGAGCAGCCGCGGACCACACAGACGGCCGGCAACTCTGGGGTCAGCCCCGCGCTCCGGGAAGCTCTGGCCGCTGAGCTGGGGCGCCGGCTTCCCCGTCTGGGCAATGGGGACGGGGCGCGCCCTTCCCCAGCGCTCGCGGCGGGAAGACCCCAGCGACCCGCGGGATGGGGAGCGCCAGGAGGGCAGGTGCGGCCCGCGTCTCCCGGGCGACACTCACGTCTCGGAACTGGACCAGGCCCTTCTCGCCCAGAGCGCTGAGGCATTCGTAGGCCGTGCCCGACTGCAGGAAGAGCTGCGCCAGACACATGGTCTCGCTCCGGAACAGGGACCCCATGGCCGGCCGGCCGGCCCGCGTCCGGAAGGGCTCGACGGGAGGCGGAGGCTCCGAGCCGCACGCACCCGCACACTCAACCGGCGCGGACCGGGCCTCGAACTCTTCCAGTGGTCTGGACGCGGCCCCGCACCATGGGGCTCCAGGATGCAGCGGCCGCCTCGGGTTCTGCCACCGCGGCTACAGCTCCAGAAGCCGCCACAACAGCCCGCGAAGCCCCGCCCCCGAGCGACCGCCGGTTCCGGTTCGGCCCCGCGCCCCGCCCCTCGCCGGCCTACCAATGGGCGCCCAAGGTTGCGGCCCCACGCCGTGGCGTAAGGGCCAACCAGCGCGAACCCGGCGGAGACCACCGCGGCAGCTGGCTGTCAGCCGGATCCGACGCAGCGCTGCAGCCCGCGCCGACTCCCGGCTTTGCTGGATGAGTCTCGCCGAGCGTACACGCCACGAAGCTCACCCGTTCCGAGTGCACGAACCTGTGCTGCTTTTTTTTTTTTTTGAGACGGAGTTTCGCTCTGTCGCCCAGGCTGGAGTGCAGTGGCGCGATCTGAGCTCACTGCAACCTCCGCCTCTCGAGTTCAAGCGATTCTCCTGCCTCACCCTGCCAAGTAGCTGAGACTACAGGCGCACGCCACCGCATCCAGCTAATTTGTTTGTATTTTTAGTGGAGACTGGGTTTCACCGTGTTGGCCAGGCTGGTCTGAACTCCTGACCTCAGGTAATCCACCTGCCTTGGCCTTCCCAAGTGCTTAGGATTACGGGCGTGAGCCACCGCGCCCGGCAGTGCTGCTACTTTTTTCGACAGGGTCTCCCTCTGTAGCCCAGGCTGGCGTGCAGTGGCGCGAGCTCGGCTCAATACAACCTTGACCTCCTGAGTTCAAGCGATTCTCCCACCTCAGCCTCTGGAGGAGCTGGGATTACAGACACAGGCCACCACCCTCGGCTAATTAAAAAAAAAATTGTAGAGAAGGGGTTTCAGCATGTTGGCCAGGGAAGTCTCGAACTCCTGAGCTCAAGCGATCCTCCCACCTCAGCCTCCCAAAGCCCTGGGATTACAGGCGTGAGCCACCGCCTGGCTAGATCCTTGGCTCCTTAGTGAAGTTGGAGTGTGCAGCCAGCATCCCAATCCAGTTTTCAAACATTTCCCACCAACCTCAAAAGACTCCTCTTGCCCGGTGGCAGTCTCCCCTTCCCACCCAGCCAGGCCACCACAGGACAATTTTGTCTTGATAGATTTGCCAGTTCCAGGCTTGTCCTGTGGCTAGAATCACACAGCACCTGAGTTCCTGCACTGACTAGGAAGCAGGGGCCCTCCACAGCCACAACCTCACCAATGGCCCAGTTGAGTCTCTGCTCATATGTCCCCTCCCTTGAGACTGTCCCTGACCCCTCTTACTTTGGAGTCACATCCTTGTTCTATTTCCTTCACAGCACCTGCCACCATCTGAAATTATCTCGTCTGTATTAGTGCCAGTCCTCCCTGCTAGAATGGAAGCTCCATCAAAGGAAGGACATTGTTTCTGCCACTGTGGCATCTCCAAGCCCCAGTACATAGTAGCCACTGAATAAACAGTTAATGAATGCATGCATAAATGTATAAAGTTAGAAAAGTTAAAACCGTAGAGTAGGCACCCCAGATCCCATTCTACTGCCAAAGTCAGTGCTTTCCCTCTTTTGAGTACAAAGGGCGTCCTCACAAAGCCCACAAAATCAGGGTAAATTACCTGTCATTTGGAAACTTTAAATGTATTTTCTATAAATATCTGAAATCCAAAGCTAGTTATACTAGGCTGGGTGCCCAGCCTCACTCCTGTAATCCGAGCACTTTGGGAGGCTGAGGAGGGTAGATCACTTGAGGTCAGGAGTTCGAGACCAGCCTGGCCAACGTGGCAAAACCCCGTCTCTACTTTTAAAAAGACAAAAATTAGCCAGGTGTGGTGGTGGCCACCTATAGTCTCAGCTACTCAGGAGGCTGCGGCAAGAGAATCATTTGAAGCTGGTAGGTGAAAGTCACAGGGAGCCAAGATCGCGCCACTGCACTCCAGCGTGGGTGACAAAGCGAGACTCTCCTTCAAAAGAAACCAACAACAACAAAAGATACAGTAAGAACTGTAAAGGTGAATTAAAATGGCTGAAGTTCAGACAATAACTGACTCAGACCCCAGCTCCTTGAGTCCAGTACTGACCCAGATTCCTGAGTCAGCCCTAGTGGGGTTAGGTGAAGGCCCAAAACCACCACCAAAAAGATGCTGAAATTAACAGTGTTTCCAACATGCAGAAACTTATGACCTCTGCAAGGACTAGCTCATCCCCCTGTTTGAAAATGGACTTAAGACTAGGAAAATTTAAAATTCTCCCTGGGCAGGAACTCTGCAGTGAAGATGAAAGAGCACATTTTATATGGTGCTGGGTAACAGCTGGCACTAGGAATTCAATCAAAAACTATAAAAGGGAAAATAATCACTTTTCAAAATTAGGATTAATTAACATACAAAGTCCATCTGAAACAACTGAATTACCTGGTACACAAAGAAAACTTACAGGTGATATGCTATGTGACTACCGTAGGGCCATGGCTAAAAACATCTATTCCAGGGCCAGGCACAGCAGCTCATGCCTATAATCCCAGCACTTTGGGAGGCTGAGGCAGGCAGATCACTTGAGCCCAGGAGTTCAAGATCAGCCTGGATAACACAGGGAGACCCTCTTCTCTACAAAAAAAAAAAAAAAACAAAAACAAAAACTAGCCAGGTACATGCCTATGTTCCCCGTTACTTGGGAAGGACCACTTGCGCTCAGGAGGTTGAGGCTGCAGTGAGCCATAATCAGGCCACTGCACTCCAGCCTGGGTGACAAAGATCATTCCTCGAAAAAAAAAATTCATTCTCCCCACCATGTGGGTTTGACTGTCTCCACGTGAGGGGCCATGGGAGAAATTTGTCAAGACTCAGCTAGGAAAAACTATCTTTTTCATTGATAACCAGTTGATTTTTAATGAATGGATCTCATAATTCCTATAGCTAATCATACTTGGGTTTTCGTAAACTGGGGTCTTGGCAGGCCCTGGTGGCTCATGCTGGTAATCCCAGCATTTTGGGAGGCTCACGTGGGAGGGTCACTAAAGTAAGGAGTTTGAGACCAGGATGAGCAACATAGGGAGACCCCCATCTCTACTGAAAACAAAAAAAAAAAATAGCCAGGCTTTCTGGCACACGCCTATAGTCCCAGCTACCTGGGAGGCTGAGGCAGGAGAATCATTTAAACTCAGGTGTTTCCGTTTACAGTGAGCTGTGATCGTACCACCACACTCCAGCCTTGGCAACAGGCTGAAGAGAAAACCTGTCTCTAAAAATAAATAAATAAATAAATAACGAATTAGGGGTGTGCTTGTTCTAAACGCAACCTTTGGCATATATTTCAGGGGCTTACACGTGCCCCTAGTTTTGTTTTACTTTTCTCCCTTTATTATTTTCCTCCCCTGGTCCCCACATCTTTCCCCATCAATTATTTTGTGTTTTTGTATTATATGCATTTTTAAGGATTTCTGAATCCTTTCTTTGGAATATGGGAAACATCGACCAACACGAATGTATTAAAAATTAAAGACTGATTCTCTCTGGTATAAATAAAACTCCCATAACTTTAAGTAATTTGTGATAAGCTAAAATTGCTAACATTTCTTGAGTTCTTCTCATGCATTTTACTCAGTCCAGGACAGCGATGAGAACGTTCATTCTGCATTAATTTGAACATCTGGATGGCTACATATACGAATTAAATTCACAGGGCACTTAATAAAAATGTTCTACAAAAATAAGACATTTCATTTATTAAAATTTTTTAGAGAAGCATACAAGACTACAGCAAATCAGCGAAGTCAAGGTCTAGAGTCGTTAAGAAGTCAGATGGGCCAGTAGCAGTGGCTCACGTCTGTGATCCCAGTACTCTGGAAGGCGGAGGCGGGCAGGTCATTTGAGCTCAGGAGTTACAGACCAGCCTGGGAAACGTGGCGAAACCCCATCTTTACCAAAAATACAAAAATAAAAAATAAAAAAGCCAGGCGTGGTAGAGCATCTGTGCAAGGCTGAGGTGGGAAGATTGCTTGGGAGGCAGAGGGTTGCAGTGGGCCAAGACTGTGACACTGCACTCCAGCCTGGGTGACCAGAGTGAGACTCAAAAAAAAAAAGTCAGGTGGTTGTCTAACTACAGGCTCTGCATATTCTGGTCCAGGGGTTGCTGAGGAACACGGCCAATGTGAGGAATGACAGCAACAGTAAGCCCTTGGCAACACACTGAGAATACGGCTCCCCTGAAAAACCATGAACAAAATTAAGCAGCAGTATTTCTTTTTTTTTTTTCTTTGAGACAGAGTTTCGCTCTTGTTACCCAGCCTGGAGTGCAATGGCGTGATCTTGGCTCACCGCAACCTCCGCCTCCTGGGTTCAGGCAATTCTCCTTCCTCAGCCTCCTGAGTAGCTGGGATTACAGGCATGCACCACCATGCCCAGCTAATTTTTTGTATTTTTAGTAGAGACGGGGTTTCACCATGTTGACCGAGATGGTCTCGATCTCTTGACCTCGTGATCCGCCCGCCTCGGCCTCCCAAAGTGCTGGGATTACAGGCTTGAGCCACCGCGCCCGGCCCATGCAGCAGTATTTCCTAACTCTTTGATGACAGCATAGGAATAGGCTGGGTGCAGTGGTCTCACGCCTGTAATCCCAACACTTTGGTGGGCCAAAGAGGGCAGATTACTGGAGGCTATTTTGGGACTAGCCTGGCCAACACGGTGAAACCCCATCTCTACTAAAAATACAAAAATTAGCTGGGTGTGGTGGTGCTGTAATCCCAGGTACTCCAGAGGCTAAGGCATGAGAGTCATCTGAACCCAGGAGATAAAGGTTGCAGTGAGCTGAGGTTGTGCCACTGCATTCCAGCCAGGGTGACAGAGCAAGACCCTGTCTTAAAAAAAAAAAAAAAAAAACCGGCCAGGCACGGTGGCTCATGCCTGTAATCCCAGCACTTTAGGAGGCCGAGGCAGGTGGATCACGAGGTCAAGAGATCAAGACCATCCTGGTCAACAAGGTAAAACCCCGTCTCTACTAAAAATACAAAAATTAGCTGGGCATAGTGGCGCGTGCCTGTAGTTCCAGCTACTCAGGAGGCTGAAGCAGGAGAATTGCCTGAACCCAGGAGGCGGAGGTTGCAGTGAGCCCAGATCGAGCCATTGCACTCCAGCCTGGGTAACAAAAGCAAAACTCCGTCTCAAAAAATACCAATGTAGTAGAAATAAACTAAGCCAAAACAGTAACGGTGATCACTTCTAAGTGGCAATATTATCTGTAAATTTTGTTTTAAGTTTCTATATGTTTTACGCTTTCTGTAACATTTAGATATCATTTTAAAAAATGTTTTAAATTGACATAACATAATTGATCATAGAAATCTGTTTCACCCTACCTTGATAATACTGAGTCCATGGATATAGAAGTTGTGGCCAACACACCTCATTTCTGTTGCAGTCATACTCTGTATAATTGATCTGGAATCTACAAAACATTTTAGAGGGTTACAGAAACTACAAAAGCATCAAAACTTGATTAAAGGAATAAACTTCCAATTTTCGAATATATATTTTTCTGCTTCCTAATGTCAACTAGGTGAGCAACTAGAATACCTTGTCAGGGGGCGGGGTAACTGTGCAGGAATTTTAATAAACTGGACCGATGCACTGATAGGGAGAAGGTCGGCCTTGTGCTCACAGGTAAGCCCACACTCGTACTGCCAGTTCACCGAGGAGAACCTAGGAGGGAGAGATCACACGGTCGGCATAGCCACCATTCAGTTCAATTCCACTAAGAACAGCAGGTAATGGATTACATTGACCATATGATTTGTTTCATGTTCTTTCCATGTAACCAATCACAATATAAGCTGAGGTTCTCTGAAGAAGTTTCACATTCTACCTGTGCTGTTTTTTTCTTTGTATTATGTCCATTTCCACAGACAGACCCAAGGAGAGAGAAGAGAAGCTCATAATAACCCTCATGGACCTATTACCCATTGACAGCTGCCAGTATTCTTGTCAATCTCACTCCCCTCCAGCCAGGGCATTTTACACAGGTGCTGTCAAAGGTAACTTTGTTCATCACCTGTTTTTCTCAAACAATGTAACAATAAAAGCAGCAGCTAGCCACTTACTGAGGGCTTTCCATGTTCAAGGCACAGAGATCAGGCACTTTCTACACACCATCTCATGTTATCCTCAAGAGTACCGTGGAGGTGGTAACTGCACTTGCATTTTCCCTAGCAGAGCCACCACTCCCCATTCCCAGTTCAGTGAACCAGAAGGGACTGGCCCCAATCCAGACGTGCACCTATCATCTGAGCCTAGTCAATCAGAGCTGTCCACTGCCCCAAACACAGAGATTGGTTCAGAAAGGAGCATGTGACCCAAACTGAACCAATAAAAGTCTGCCCGGATCTATTTTGAGAAAGAGGAGGAAGGAGGGTCTTTCCCCACTGGACATAAGTCTGGATCATTGGTGTTCATCTTTGCCATCTCTTGAGGAGAACCTCCCTGAGAGTGAAGCTAAACCATAGGAAGAGGAGAAAGAAAATAAAAAGATCCCTGACCACACTGGAACCATGAACCAAGAACTAGCTGTATGTGGACTACTCTAAACTTGAAGCAATAAACTCCCCTTTTTGCTTAAGTCAGTATGAACTGGGCAACAGTCACTTAAAATTGATGGAGGCTTGATATATAAAGATATTATCACCATATTACAGAGGAGGTCGCTACAGCTCAGAAAGGTTAAGTGATTGCCTAGTGCCACACAGCTCCTCAGTGGAACAGCCATGATTTGAACCTATCTGCTGCCAAAGTCTCTAACCACAGGCAATATTCTGATCAGCATGTCAGTTACATGCGTGGATTTCAAAATATACTTAGCTCTGAGTAGCCCTTATTCTTCTTTGTACTCCCTAAAATACCTTGCAGAATCTTTTACACATAGCTTTATAAATACGTGTGAGACCAAGTCTCCATAGTTCATACATATTCCATATGTGCATATAAACATCTTGCTAATAATTGCAAGTTGTAAATAAACAATCAGATTCTAAGTGAGCATTTCCCTATTGTTCAGAACATCCTCAACTTTCCTGACTCTCTCTAAACTACAGTGATCCAAGATGTGATCATACCTTGTCTCTACGCCAAGTATCTCCTGCTGAGTAATCCCTTCCACTGCGCCAACATCCGAGATGAGGATGCGGATGCTCAGCTGAGCAGGAATATCCAGGCAGATGCCATTCACACTGCCAGCCAGCAGGTCCGCACCCGGATCAGGGGCATCTACACCTATGGAAATGTTAAGTTCATACTTTTCAAAGAATAATTTGATAAATTTTCTTAGAATTTGATGTTTTCCTAACCAAAATGGGAAATAATATTAGGTAAGCATCACATTATTGAGGGTTTAGTCTCTTACAGGCTCTGGTTACTTGTCACTCCATAACTGTGTTATCCCTTGAAGTCTACAAGACACAGGATGGCACCACCTACCAAAAACTGTTTTTTTTTAGACGGAGTTTCGCTCTTGTTACCCAGGCTGGAATGCACTGGCGCGATCTCGGCTCACCGCAACCTCTGCCTCCTGGGTTCAGGCAATTCTCCTGCCTCAGCCTCCTGAGTAGCTGGGATTACAGGCACACGCCACCATTCCGAGCTAATTTTTTGTATTTTTAGTAGAGACGGGGTTTCACCATGTTGACCAGGATGGTCTCGATCTCTTGACCTCGTGATCCACCTGCCTCGGCCTCCCAAAGTGCTGGGATTACTGGCTTGAGCCACCGCGCCTGGCCAAAAACTGTGTTTAAAATGTTTCCTTGTATGTTAAGCCAGTCACTGGAACTTAAAAGCCCTGACCCACATATTAAAGCCATAAATCATGATTCAGTTTTCAAGCTCCCCACTGAAATCTACCCAGCCTTTTAACAAAACATATATAATTGCAGCAAAATGCCATAGTTATTCCATGCAGTCACAGTTCTAGCAAAAGCTATGTAAGACATTTAAAATCCATACTAACAACTTTAGGCCAGGCACAGTGGCTCATACCTATAATCCCAGCACTTTGGGAAGTCAAGGTAGAAGGACTGCTTGAGCCCAGGAGTTTGAAACCAGCCTGGGCAACATAGCAAAACCCCATCTTTTAAAGAAAAAAAATACCCAGGCAAGGTGCCACATACCTGTAATCCCAGCTACCCAGGAGACTGAGGTGAGAGGACTGCTGCAGCCTGGGAAGACAAGGCTGCAGTGATGGCACCATGGCCACACTACACTTCATCCTGGACACAGAGTGAGAACCTCATCTCAAAAAATAAAAATAAAAATCGGCCAGTCACAGTGGCTCACACCTGTAATCCCAGCTACTTGGGAGGCTGAGGCAGGAGAATCGCTTGAACCCGGGAGGTGGATGTTGCAGTGAGCAGAGATCATGCCACTGCACTCCAGCCTGAGACGCAAAGTGAGACTCCATCTCAAAAATAATAATAATTAAAAATAAAAAAACCCAAAATTCATACTAACAACTTTAGTATGTATTAGATAGATAAGTAATTTCCTAATGTGTTATCATACTATTTATTGGAAGAGAATGAAATTGAATGAGAAATTAATTTTCATTCACCCTGAAAACTAGCACTCATGAGAAAACCCAGCAAGGTCAATGAAAGGAAGTGGGGTGGGTTCTATGGCTCCTCTGAAGGGGGGTCTTTGCTCCTTCAGGAATTCTGAAGGTCAGTGGTGCTGTTTTTATGCGTAATTTTTTTTTTTTTTGAGACGGAGTTTCGCTCGTTACCCAGGCTGGAGTGCAATGGTGCAATCTCGGCTCACCACAACCTCCACCTCCTGGGTTCAGGCAATTCTCTTGCCTCAGCCTCCTGAGTAGCTGGGATTACAGGCACGCGCCACCATGCCCAGCTAATTTTTTGTATTTTTAGTAGAGACGGGGTTTCACCATGTTGACCAGGATGGTCTTGATCTCTTAACCTCGTGATCCACCTGCCTCGGCCTCCCAAAGTGCTGGGATTACAGGCTTGAGCCACTGCACCTGGCCTGCGTAATTTCTTTATACATGTGTCAACACCACTTTTCCTCTGATTATTAACCAGGATCAAGGTTGCTTTTTGGCTCAGACATATAATAAAAGCTAATCCCTTCCACCTTGAAGGCAACAGAATGTCATCACTACACTGATTTCGTAACTAACCAACCTAGGTTCTCCATCTAGACATTTCCCCTACCCTTTATTTCCCAAGTGCTGACTTCTCTCCAGCCCTCAGAGTCATCCCATAGCTTATCTATCTGGCCTGGGTGGCAGAGCCCAGAGCTTGACAAGCTCGACCTCTGGGTTCCGTTTGCAAATGAGGATCTGGGTCTGGGCCCGTGCCCTGAGCACCAGCTGGATAAGCAAACAGCAGCCTGAGTGCCCTATGGGGGTAGGGGTCCAACAGGACTCCCTCTGCAAGTCAGAGAGTGGTCTGGGGCACCTCAAGCTCACAGACATATCACATGATCCATGATCACCACGAAGGCAGGGAGGGTCCTCATCACCATGACCGCAATCATAAGGAGTGGGCATAATACACATGTGTGTCTGGATGGGCCCTTGTGTGAATTCCAGCCCAGTGAGCCCAGCTGACCTCAGAGGGGATGGAAAGGACAAGGGCAGGATCCAGAGGGCTGCTCCCCAGGCAGAGGAGGGGGAACACAACAATGTCTGCAGGGAGAGCAAGGCAGGTGGAAGCAGAGACGCACAGTCACTGCGCTCTTTCTGGCCTCAAAAGGCAATTTCATTAATTAGCTCAATAAAATGAGTTTTCTCTTCAAAGTATTTACACATTCAAGACTCTCTAAGAAACTGGGAAGACGTTACTTAACTTACTACCAGGGAACAGAGAAAAGAGGTTGGAACCCTGGGTGTTCATTCTAACTCTGCCAAAACTCACTGTGACCTTAGGCCTCTCCAACATAATCCAATGAGCTGGATCTCCATGACTCAAAGGACATTTGGGATGCGAGGGAAGTCGGAGCTGGTGAAGAAGCTGTAAAGTCTGCCTAACCTTCACTCCACGTGCATGGGGTGTATCTCCTTCCCTTTGTGTGCGATCTACTTACCAGCTCAGCACTGCAAATACCTTTGGCCAAAGGCACTGGGCTGCCAAGTCTTTTAATCTGGCCTCCATGATCCCTGCTGTTATTAGATCTGTTCTACCTTAATTGTCTTCTTCTTAACAAGTTTATTGAGATATAATTGATATGCTATACACTCTACCCACTTAAAGTGTGTAATTCGATGGTTTCTGGTATAGTCACAAAGCTGTGTAACAATCAGCAGATTCTATTTTAGAACATTTTATTGCTCTGCAAAGAAATCCTTTATCCATGGCAGTCTCTCCCCATTTCCTCCCAACTCCTCAGCCTCTGGCATCCATTAATCCACTGCTCTATACATTGCCCATTCTGGACATTGCGTATAAATTGAGTCATACAGTATATGGTCTTTTGTGTCTGGCTTCCATCACTTAGCATAATATTTTCAATCATTTTATTTTCTTTTAAGTTAACAAAATTACCTTTATAAATTACAAAGTCAATTCTCAAATGCCTGTATTCCTGGCAATCAAAAACAGCAAGGCAAACTGAAGTGCACTAAAAATCCTCAAACCTAGCTTGGACTTTGTTTCAATGTACTTGATTTTGTTTTATTTTTAGAGTCAGGATCTTGCTCTGTCATCCAGGTTGGAGTGCGGTGGTGTAATCAGAGCTCATCACTGCAGCCTCAAACTCCTAGGCTCAAGCAATCCTTTTTCCCCAGCATCCCAAGTAGCAGTGACTGCAGGGACATGCCACCACACCTGACTAATTTTTTTAAATTTTTTGTAGAGACAAGGTCTCACTATGTTGCCCAGGCTGGTCTTAAACTCCTGGCCTCAAGCAATCCTCTTGCAATGGCCTCCCAAAGTGCTGAGATTATAGGCGTGAGCCACTGCTCCCAGCCTAAACTTTATTTTACAAAGACTGTTGTTGGCCAGGCTCAGTGCCTCACACCTGTAATCTCAACACTTTGAGAGGTTGAGGTGGGCAGATCACTTGAGCCCAGGAGTTGATGACCAGCCTGGGCAACATGGCAAAATCCATCTCTACAAATAATACAAAAAATTAGCCAGATGTGGTGGCACACACCTGTAGTGCCAGCTACTTGGGAGGTTGAGGCGGGAGGATCTCTTGAGCCTGGGAGGATGAGGCTTCAGTGAGCTGTGATTGCACCACTGCACTCCAGCCTGGGTGATAGAATGAGACCCTGTCTCTAAAAACCAAAAAGGTATTGTGAATAAGAAGAAAAAGACATGCCAAGTTTCCTGCCCGGAGAGCTAACCCTTGAACAAACATCCAGTTAAGCACAGTAAAGCCTCAGGAAGATGACCTACTGGGTTGGGCCCTAATGCTGCAACTACAGTTGGTAGTCATAGCAACCAAGTTACAGGCTTTACTGTACCCCTCTTTGACTTACGGATTATTTCAAGCCAGCCGTCACTAAGATCAGTGTAATCGGAGTTTCCTCTCATTGCAACATGAGTCGCTTGTATTAACGAATCAAGTCTTTCAAGAGCATTCACCCTGCAAGAGAGTAAGACATTTCTCAGCTCACGGCCAGCAGGTCTTGTCCTAAAGTCCTTTCCAGTGAATGTCCAGGTTTCACTTCCAAGTGCCCAAATGAAAAACTGCCAGAGGAGCCTGGCGCAGTAGCTCACGCCTGTAATCCCAGCACTTTGAGAGGCTGAGGCAGGCGATCACCTGAGGGCGGAAGTTCAAAGCCAGCCTGACCAACAGGGAGAATGCCTATCTATTAAAAATATAAAATTAGCCGGGCAGGGTGGCACATGCCTGTAATCCCAGCTACTCAGGAGGCTGGGACAGGAGAATAGCTTGAACCTGGGAGGCAGAGGTTGTGGTGAGCCAAGATTGCACCATTGCACTCCAGCCTGGGCAACAAGAGTGAAACTGTGTCTTAAAAAACAAACTGCCAGAGGAACTGGCATTAAAAACTGGCGGGGTGTCACCCATGGAATATGGGTGTGTTTGATGGCCTTCCCAGGATGGACCTACACAGCTGGAGGAGGACATAGAGAAGCAATCTTTTACTTTAGACTTAAAATGTTAGTAATTTAGCCAGGTGCAGTGGCTCACGCCTGTAATCCCAACCCTTTGGGAGGCTAAGGTGAGAGGATTCCTTGAGCTCAAGAGTTCAAGACCAGTGTGGGCAATATAGCGAAACCCTGCCTGTACTATAAATACAAAAATTAGCCAGGCATGATGGCACATGCCTATAGTCCCAACTACTCGGGAGGCTAAGGTGGGAAGAGCGCATGAGCCTTGCGGGGTTGAGGCTGCAGTGAGCCGAGATCGCACCACTGCACTGCAGCATGGGTAACACGACAAGACCCTGTCTCAAAACAAAAAATGTTAGTAACAAGTTGGGATCACATGGCTCACAGATTCTGCTGACGGTCACCAAACTTAGGAGGTGGTTAGAGCACACATCAAGTTACCAGGATAAACTGGTGGGCCAGAGTGATCCAATAGTAAAAGTAACCTAAATATCTAGCTGGGATTTTGAGTCTTAAAATTAAGTGAAGACTAAGCGTTGGAACGTAGCATCCCTCCTCCTTCCCAGTACTGTCAGTGGAGGGCACAAATCTCAAAAACTGCGGGAGAGGGACTCTGCCCATGGACTCAGACCTCACAACCCATAATCAGGAGCTGCTGCCAACAATTTATACCAGTTTTCCTTAACTTCTCAATGTCTCCCCCACTTTCTTCCTGCTCCCCAAAGAACTACACATCTTGGGATATGTGACAGATAAAATGTGTATAAGAATGCACGCAGGCCGGGCACAATGGCTCACACTTGTAAGCCCAACACTTTGGGAGGCCCAGGCAGGCGAATTGTTTCAGCTCAGGAGTTTGAGACCAGCCTGAGCAACATGGTGAAACCCCATCTCTACAAAAAATATGAAAAATCAGCCAGGCATTGAAGTACACCTGTACTCCAAGATATCTGGGAGGCTGAAGTGGGAGGATCACCTGAGCTCAGCGGAGTCGGGCTATAGTGAGCCGTGATCACACCACTGCACTCCAGCCTGGATGAGAGTGAGACCTTGTTCAAAAAAAAAGGCAAGCCAAAAAGAATGCATGCAAGCAAAACCACAATGAGATACCACTCCTTATCTATTAGGATGGCTACTGTCCAAAAAATGCAAAAAACAGAATAGAGGCCAGGCATAGTGGCTCACGCCTGTAATCCCAGTACTTAAGGAGGCCAAGGCAGATGGACCTACTGAGCCTGGGGAGGTTAAGGCTGCAGTACGCCATGATTGTACCACTGCACCCAAGTCTGGGCAACACAGTGAGACCCTGTCTCAAAAACAAAAACATTAATACCCCAATTATACCTTGCCCTGGCCTTTTTCATAGCTCTAGGAGTATAAGGTTCCAATGAGGCCGGGTGTGGTGGCTCACACCTGTAATCCTAGCACTTTGGGAGGCCTTGGTGGGCAGGTAACTTGAGGTCAGGAATTCAAGACCAACATGGTGAAACCCCGTCTCCACTAAAAATACAAAAATATCAGTCAGGCGTGGTGGTGCACGCCTGTAATCCCAGCTACTCAGGGTGCCTAAGGCAGAAGAATCACTTGAACCAGGAAGGCAGAGACTGCAGTGAGCCAAGATTGTGCCACTGCACTCCAGCCTAGGTGACAAAGCGAGACTTCATCTCAACCAAAAAAAAAAAGGTTCCAGTGAGCTGAACAAACTTTGGCAGAGAAATCTGCTTAAATGTGGATGAACTGGCTTTAGTACCAAGAAAGAGGTCTATTTTCCCTCATATTGATGTTTGAATCAACTCTAAATTGTATTACATGTCTGTATTTATTTATTATCACTTTTACAAGTTTTAATTGACTATTTTTTCATAATTAATTTTGTCTTTGATATTCATGTATTGAATAAATTGTTTTTTAGATAGACTCTCACTCTGTCGCCCAGGCTGGAGTGCAGTGGCGCAATCTCAGCTCACTGCAACTTCTGCCGCCCAGGTTCAAGCGATTCTCCTGCCTCAGTCTCCTGAGTAGCTGGGATTACAGGTGCCTGCCACTGTGCCCAGCTAACTTTTGTATTTTAGTAGAGACAGGGTTTCACCATCTTGGTCAGGCTGGTCTTAAACTCCTGACCTCGTGATCACCCGCCTCAGCCTCCCAAAGTGCTAAGATTACAGGCGTTGAGCCACTGTGACCAGCCATGAATTAATTTTAAGCGAACCATTTGCACTGCAGATAAATTCATCAATGAAATACTCACCTGAGCTGTGTACAATTTTCATTAATCCCAACTTCTAACAGGCATCCAGAGAGTGCATTTTCTCCAAATAAAATGGGTTTGAAATTTGCTGATGTACACAAACCCCTTCCAGCTATAAAAGAAAAAGATTATCCTCTTGCTACTTTTTGCTAAATAAAAGTAAAGATTAACTTCAAAGGTTTTCTTGAAAAACAGGGAAAAAATAGTAAGTAGAAATAAAGTTTCCAGTTTTCAAAAGCTGAGATCACTGTTAATCTAATCCTTTCAAAACTGAGCAAAGGTGCCTTTTTGTATCAGAATTCCCAGACCCTGAGCGGTTGTTTCTCCTGGTTTCTTCAGAAAACGATATTGCCTCTGGCAGATGTGGGTAATGGTCACTGACCACAAATTTCCCTTAGTTCAGAATGAAGTTATTCTCCTGTCTCCAATTAGCACCATCCTGGGCTAAAGGCAAGAACAGCACGAGACTCTCAAGCCAATCTCCTATTTTAATCTCTTTTACTAGCAACCAGCAGTTTAGGCGCAAACAAGGTTAGCATTTCTCCTTAAAAAGCTGTAGAAGCATGAAAAACCACCACCACTGTTATTCAGCAGCATGCCCCTCTCTGCTAAATAAGCCAACCAGGCTTTAAAATAATTGAGCGCTTGATTAGATTACTACATACTACAATATACGAAATAAAAAATACTTCTAACACCAGTTTGCCAGAGGGCTAATCATAATGATCAAACCTGACTGCCAAAGATGTAAAGTCGTGACATTATTCGTCCTGTTGGTATTTAGAGCTCGGACAGGCTTGTCAAGTTGGTAACCTAGACAAACACGACAAAGGAGAATGAGCGTGTTTCTGCCTATCCTGGAGCATAGCAAGCCGTAACTCAGCAAACAATACAAAAGAGAAATACATAATGAAAGAAAATATTTAGACGAAGCTTTCTAAAATACCCTTGAGAGAAAGATGAAACCTTCATTAATTGCTTTTTTTTGTATGCTGTTGTTTTTATTTGAGACAGTCTTGCTTAGTCACCCAGGCTGGAGTGCAATGGCACAATCTCAGTTCACTGCAACCTCCACCTCCTGGGTTCAAGAGATTGTCCCACCTCAGCCTCCCGAGTAGCTGGGACTACAGGCACCCACTAGCACACTAATTTTTGCATTTTTGTAGAGACAGGGGATTCACCATGTTGGCCAGGCTGGTCTCGAACTCCTGACCTCATCATCCGCCCACCTCGGCCTCCCAAAATGCTGGAATTACAGGCATGAGCCACCATGCCCAGCTCCTTTTTTTTTTCTTTTTAACAGACAAGGACATTCATTCAATATAAAAAATACATTTTAACAAAACCTGAAAAACAAATTGCAGGCATGAGTCACTCTTGGACCTCTCCTGCAACAGACACAGAGGTGCCTATCAAGCCAGTTAAGGAACACTTGCTGAATGATAATACTGCTTATTACAGGGGCTCATAGAAGACATTTAAACCAAAGTAATCTTTTTGTTTTTTTTAAATGGATTCTCACTCTGTCGCCCAGGCTGGAGTGCAGTGGTGTGGTCTCGGCTCACCGCAACCTCTGCCTCCTGGGCTCAAGTGATTCTCTTGCCTCAGCCTCACAAGTAGCGGAGATTACAGGTGCCCTCCACCACCTCAGGCTATTTTTTTGAATTTTTAGTAGAGACAGGGTTTCCCCATGTTGGCCAGGCTGGTTTCTAACTCCTGACCTCAAGTGATCCACCTGCCTCAGCCTCCCAAAGTGCTGGGATTAAAGGAGTGAGCCACTGCACCCAACCATAATCTTTCAATAGAACCTTTTCCCAGTAAATCCATTCAACCCCAAGGTCTGTTGCTAGGTCATATTCCTATCCATCTCCTATTAATGCAACTTACTGCTTCCGATATTTTACTATGAAAATGTTCACATGTACATTGTGAAAGTTGAAAGTAATACCATGAACGTCAATACAGCCACATCAAAATCAACTGTAATATTTGACCATATTCATCTTAACTATATCATACAGGTTGCACATCCCTTATCTGAAATGCTTGAGACCAGAAGTGTCTGGAATTGTTTCCGATTTTGGAATGTTTGCATATACATGAGTAATCTTGGCTGTGCGCCGTGGTTCAAGTCTATAATCTCAGCACTTTAAGAGGCCGAGATGGACACATTACTTGAGGTCAGGAGTTCAAGACCAGCTGGCCAAGACAGCAAAACCCCATCTCTACTAAAAATACAAAAATTAGCCAGGCATGGTGGCACAGGTCTGTCATCCCAGCTACTCAGGAAACTGAGCCATGAGAATCACTTGAACCCAGGAGGCAGAGGTTGCAGTGAGCTAAAAATCACACCACTGAACTACAGCCTGGGGAAGAGAGTGAGACTTCATCTCAAAAAAAAAAAAAAAAGTTATCTTGAGGATGAGACCCAAGACTAAACATGATATTCATGTTCCATATACGTGTTATACATATAGCCCAAAGGTAATTTTATACTATATTTTTAATAATTTTGTACAAGAAACTTTGTGGACACTGAGCCATCAGAAAGCAGAGGTGTCAGGTGTGGAAGTTCCCCCTTGTGGCATCATGTCGGTGATCAAAAAGTCTCAGATTTTCAAGCACTTTGGATTTCAGATTTCAGATTAGAGATGCTCAAATTAGATAAACATGTACATATACATATGGGGTTTTTTTGCAGGACCATTTAAAATAAGCTGTGGAAAGCTAGGTGCAGTGGCTCAGGCCTGTAATCTCAGCACTATGGGAGGCCAAGGTGGGTGGATCATCTGAGGTTAGGAGCTCAAGACCAGCCTGGCCAACAAGGAGAAACCCCAACTCTACTAAAAATACAAAATTAGGCCAGGCATGGTGGCTTATGCCTGTAATCCCAGCACTTTGGGAGGCCATGGAGGGCAGATCACCTGAGGTTAGGAGTTCGGACCAGCCTGACCAATATGGAGAAATCCAACCTCAAAAAAAAAAAAAAAATTAGCCAGGCATGGTGGCATATGCCTGTAGTCCCAGCTACTCAGGAGGCTGAGGCAGGAGAATCGCTTGATCCTGGAGGCAGAGGTTGCAATGAGCCGAGACTGCACCCTGCACCACTGCACTCCAGCCTGGGCAACAGAATGAGACTCTGCCTCGAAAAAACAAACAAAGAAAAAACAGGATCCAATCAGGTTCATGCATCATTTTTGTGTTTCCAGCTTTACGTCCCATCATTGCTGAACACCCAGCCTCACCATGTGTATTTCATGCTCATATCTGCCTCCTAGGCTTCACTCAGGTTACCCCTGGTCCCAATATGCACCATCTGCTCTTCAAAGCACAACCCCTCCGCACAACTTGGTGGATGGAAACTCACCAAGGGCAGAGACTCCAACTGGCTCACTGCTTTACCTCCAGCACTGAGAGCAATGCCTCATGCAAACTGGACACTCAACAAAACTCCTTAAGGATCAGAAGTTTGGTTCAATAGCTGGGAGCAGTGGCTCATGCCTGTAATCCCAGCACTTTGGGAGGCTGAGGCAGGCGGATCACTTGAGATCAGGAGTTCAAGAACAGCCTGGCAAACATGGCTAAACCTCATGTCTACTAAAAATACAAAAATTAGCCAGGTATGATAGCTCATGCCTGTAGTCCCAGCTACTCAGGAGGCTGAGGCAGAAGAATCACTTGAACCCGGGAGGCAGAGGTTGCAGTAAGCCAAGATTGTGCCACTCCAGCTTAGGGGACAGAGCAAGACTCCATCTCAAAAAAAAAAAAAGAAGTTTGGTTCAATGATTAACTTTCTCCTCCTCAGAAGTTCTAGAGTACCTGTGCACCTGTGCATAAGTCTAGCATTCATTTTTTATCTTGGGTTTTTCACTGTTTGCTCAGCTCTGGCTCTTAACTATTTATTTATTTTTTTTTGAAATAGGGTCTCATTCTAGGCTGCACTCAGCCTAGGCTGGAGTGCAGTGGTGTGATCACAGCTCACTGCAGCCTCAACTTCCTGGCCTCACTTCAGCCTTAACTTCCCAGGCTCAAGCCATCCTTCCACCTCAGCCTCCTGAGTAGCTGGGACTATAGGCATGTGCTGCCACACACAGTTAATTTTTTTTAAATCTGTTTGTATAGACAGGGGCTCACTATGTTGCCAGGGCTGGTCTCGAACTCCTGGGCTCAAGCCATCCTCCCGCCTTGGCCTCCCAAAGTGCTGGGATTACAGGCATGAGCCACCAAGCCTGGCCTCCATTATTTCTTAAAAAGTTAATTTTAGGCCAGGCATGGCGGCTCACACCTGTAATCCCAACACTTTAGGAGGTTTAGGTGGGCAGATCACTTGAGCCCAGGAGGTTGAGACCAGCCAGGAAATAGCAAGACCCTATCTCTTCTTTTTTTTTTTTTTCTTTGGAGACAGAGTCTAGCTCTATCTCCTAGGCTGTAGTGCAGTGGTAAGATCTCAGCTCACCGCAACCTCCATCTCTCAGGTTCAAGCAATTCTCGTGCCTCAGCCTCCCAAGTAGCTGGGACTACAGGCACATGCCACCGCACCTGTCTAATTTTTTGTACTGTCGTAGAGATGAGTTTTTACCATGTGGCCCAAGCTGGTCTCAAACTCCTTAGTTCAGACAATCTGTCCACCTCAGCCTTCCAAACTGTTTAGGATTACAGGTATCAGCCACCAAGCCCAGCCAACAAAGACTCCATCTCTACAAAAAAAATACAAAAATGAGCCAGGTATGGTGGCACACATCTATAGTTCCAACTACTTGGGAGGCTGAGGTGAAACGATCACTTGAGCCTGGGAGGTTAAGGCTGCAGTGAGTTGCCATCATAACCACTGCATTCCACCCTGGATGACAGAGTGAGACTCTGTCTCAAAAAAAAATAATAATAATTTTACTGACATTTTAAAGATATTATGTCTCTCAAAAAACCAGTAACTAAAGAGAAAGAATGCTTCACATTTACAACAACTTGTTACTATATACAATAGACTATGTAAAAAAAAATTATGTTGCTATCACAAAAAGAATACCATGTCGGCCAGGTGTGTCGGCTCACACCTGTAATCCCAGCACTTTAGGTGTCTGAGGTGGGTGGATTACCTGAGGTCAGGAGTTCAAGACCCATCTGGCCAACATGGCAAAACCCCATCTCTATTAAAAGTATAAAACTTTGCTGAGCATGGGGGTAGGTGCCTGTAATCCCAGCTACTTGGAGGAGAATCATTTGAACCCAGGAGGTAGAGGTTGCAGTGAGCCCAAATCGTGCCATTGCACTCCATTCTGGGTGACAAGAGGGAAACTCTGCCTCAAAAAATAAATAAAGAAGAAGAATACAGTGTTACAACAGAGAATAAAGAGGCTGGGCAGTGGCTCACGCCTGTAATTACAACATTTGGGAGGCTAAGGCCAGGGGATCACTCAAAGTCAGGAGTTCAAGACCAGCCTGGACAACATGGTGAAACCCTGTCTCTACTAAAAATATAAAAATTATATTAAAGTGAGCGACCCTGCGAGCCTCTCTTTGGAGAAGTAGCAGATAAATAAAGCTTCCTATGTTGTGTGGTTAAAAAGAAAAATTACCAGGCGTGGTGGTATGCACCTGTAATCCCAGCTACTCAGGAGGCTGAGGCAGAAAAATTGCTTGAACCCAGGACGCAGAGGTTGCAGTGGGCCGAGATTGCACCACCGCACTCCAGCCTGGGCAACAGGGCAAGACTCTTGTCTCAACAACAAAAAAGAGAGAATAAAGAAAAAGGTCAGAGTCAGAAACTAAAACTGGAGAGAGTTACTTATGATCATCCTGATGGTGGCTGGGAGCATCAAACTAAAATATGTTTGTAAGATCAGTGACTGTCATATACTCATCTTACCTGGATTTCCAGATAATTCCTCCTCATTACCACTATTATAGCTTAAAAATTTTACTAGAAATCTCTGCGTCAATATCCCTAAAAATAAAACAAAATAAAAATATAACATGTACCATTTCACTAGGAAAAGAAATTATTCTCCAGAGTGTCTTAGTTAAAATTGCATTTTAACATGCAAAATATACTCATTGATTAAATCATACATGCACATAGAAACGAGTCTGACTGAGTTTTATGGGTTATAATTATGAGAAACTTGAAGAAATAAAAAAAATACTTTTCAGTGAAAGCATGCTTGCTACCCTCATCAAAGTTACCTTTCTGGTGGGCATTAATCTCTGCCCTAACAATTTTGACATTTATTTCACTGATTGTATTATTATTCCATTTGAAAATATAATGTTCTTCCACATTCACGATTCTGAGGGATGATCCATTATTTAAAGGAGCTTCTGCAAATACAAAAAAATGTTCATAAATTAAAGACCCTCTTTGAGCTTGACTCTATTACTGGGAAGTTCCCTCTGCCTGTGTGACCTTCCCCGAGTGCCTGTCCCTGCCCTCCCTATCTCCCTTTCCCTAATGCACCCCGGTCACTGATTCCTCGAGGAAGCCTGCCCTGGCCCACCAAGTCAGCATTAGCTGCCTCCTCTATGCCATCACGGTACCCAGAATGAGATCTGTCCCTTTCATTTCTGTATCCCCAGCACCTGGCTCATAGCTTGCCATGGAGGAGCATACACTTGGCAAATGTTTGTGAAATGAAAGACCAGAGGGTCACTTCCATAAGGCCAGGGGCTGGCTGTCTAATTCCTTACTATAGCGTAGGAACTCCGCTAACATTTGATGAGCTAATGAATACATTTGAGAATTACAACACATCAGAAAGAAACACCCAGCACTTTGGGAGATCAAGGCAGACGGATCACCTTAGGTCAGGAGTTTGAGACCAGCCTGGGCAACAAGGTGAAATGCCGTCTCTATTAAAAATACAAAAATTAGCCAGGAGTGGTGGCAGCTGCCTATAATCCCAGCTACTAAGGAACCTAAGGCAAGAGAATCACTTGAACCTGGGAGGCAGAGGTTACAGTGAGCTAAGAACACACTACTGCATTCCAGCCTGGGCGACAGAGCAAGACTCTGTCTCTAATTAGTAAAAAGAAAAGAATCACATATATCCTTCATTAAAAATTGAAGTCCTGGTAAAATTAGCCAAAATCAGCCAGACACAGTGGCTCACATATGTAATCCCTGCACTTTGGGAGGCTGAGGCAGGTGGATCACTTGAGGTCAGGAGTTTGAAACCAGCCTGGCCAACATGGTAAAACCCCATCTCTACTAAAATGCAAAAATTAGCCGGGCATGGTGGCAGGCACCTGTAGTCCCAGCTACTCAGGAGGCTGTGGCAGAAGAATCATTTGAACCCAGGAGGGGAAAGCTGCAGCGAGCCAAGATCACACCACTGCATGGAGTGACAGAGCAAGACTCTGTCTCAAAAAAAAAAAATCAGCCAAATTCTACATAACTTATTTGGCTGAATCACAATTGCAAAGTTTAATTATCTAAAAAAAAAAGGAAAGAAAGCAAAAGGTGAACATGCTGTGTCCTAAAGAATTCCTTAACTATCAAACATTTAAGAAAAGGTTCATGGAAGCTGGAACTAGTAGGGATGGTAGAACTCACAGAAGCCCAGACTGTGGAGGAACAGGCCAGAGAGTACTCTAAAGCCCAGCAAGACGGAACAAGGAGCAAATGAAATGCTCCTGGCATAGTCTCCTAACTATTGTGAACCTTTTTAAATGACTAATAAAAATATACACTTTGGGGCTATATATTACTTGTAAGAAATGACACATCTGTTTCTGAAGAAATGATCTCAAAGTGTAACATTAAATACCTGTCCTGGTGATGAATTTGTCTAGGTCAGTTGCTTCCTCATAGGTGACTTTTGGTGTAACTGTGCCTAAGAGAGACATAAATTAACTTCCAGAGGAGTAACACGGCCTACCACGATCACACTTACTCAGGCAAAGTACAGCTCATCAAGCAAACAATGCAAATAAACCTGCCCAGGCTGCCAACTGCAAAACTCTCCCCACTCCCCAAAAACCATCAGATAGGAGTCCCGGTCCTCTTTGCATCTAATTATAACTGAGGAGGAAAATCCACAATAAACAAACAAAAAACAGGGTGACTGTGACGTAAAAACAAACACGCAGTTCACTGCTGGTGGCAATACAAAATGGAGCAGACATTGTAGAGAACAATTTGGTGTTCAGGAAGCCATATTAGCATGACGTATCAGTTCCACTCCTAGGTGTCTACCCAAAAGAAATGAAAACACACATCTACGCAAAAACTTGTACACAAGTGTTCATAGCAGTGCTCTTCACAACAGTCACGATATCAAGACAACCCACATGCCCATCAGCTGACGAATGGACAGACACAAGGTGGTCTGTCCACAGGATGGACTATGACTCAGCCATAAAAAGAAGCGAAGTGCTGAAACACGCTGGAACACGGATGAGCCACGGAACACCACGCTAAGTGAAGAAGCCAGACACAAAAGGCCACATGTGTATGCTTCTATTTCTAGGAAACATCCAGAATAAGCAATCCATGCAGACAGAAAGCAGACTGGTGGCTGCAGGGGCTGAGGTAGAGGGGTGGGGAGTGACTGCTAATGGGTACAGATGCCCTTCTGAGATGATGGAAGGTTCTGGAACTATAAAAAGGTAATGGTGGCATAACACTGTGGAAGGTCCTAAATGTCACCGAATGGTACACTTTAAAATGGTTCGTTCTGGTGGGGCACAGTGGCTCACATCTGTAAACCCAGCACTTTGGGAGGGCTAGGAGGGCGGATCACCTGAGGTCAGGAGTTCAAGACCAGCCTGGCCAACATGGTGAAACCCCATCTATAATAAAAATACAAAAATTACCCAGGCATGGTGGCAGGCACCTGTAGTCCCAGCTACTCGGGAGGCTGAGGCAGAAGAATCGCTTGAACTCAGGAGGCAGAGGATGCAGTGAGCCGAGATTGCGCCACTGCACTCCAACCTGCACGATGGAGCGAGACTCCGTCTCAAATCAAACAAACAAAAAGGTTAATTTTATGTCATTTGAATTTTACTCCAATTTCAAAATATTTAATATGCAACATGCTGTCTTATGGAACTAAACAATTGGCAGTTACAATATTATTTGAAGTTGAACCAGTAAAAATGATTTATACTCTCATGAGATCATAGTTTATCTTCATGCTTGGGTCTGTGTTCTTTTTTTCAAAGAAATAAAACATACCTCCCAAGGCAACATTCTTGATCTTCGCATTGATAATACCATCTCGTTCTTGGTATGCTTCCAAATTAGTAACGCATTTAACATCAAAATTGTGAAGAAATGCCACTGGAGCGTCCTGCATACACTGCCCAGCCAGGGACACCTGAGGGTGAAGGGCAAAGCCAACAGATTTACGGCCTCTCTCCTAATCATACAAAATAGATCAGCGTCCCTTAACATTGTTCTTTCTGCAGCCTGCTCCCATTGCTGGTCTGGTTTCAGCAATGGCAAGTTCACTGACTAGTTGACCAGCTTTAGCAAAACAGCCAACTGATTCAACGATTTGCCCATCAAGGTCTGGAAGCCGTTGGTTGTGGAGTCACAGCAAATATTATCTAATAAAAACAAAGAGGCCAGATACAGTGGCTCACACCTGTAGTCCCAGCACTTTGGGAGGCCGAGGAAGGCGGATCACAAGATCAGGAGACTGAGACCATCCTGGCTAACAGAGTGAAACCCCATCTGTACCGAAAATACAAAAAATTAGCCAGGCATGGTGGCACATGCCTGTGGTTCCAGCTACTTGGGAGGCTGAGGCAGGAGAATCACTTGAACCCGGGAGACAGAGGTTGCAGTGAGCCGAGATCATGCCACTGCACTCCAGCCTGGGAGACAGAGTGAGACTCTGTGTCAAAAAAATAATAATAAAAAAATAAAATAAAATAAAAAAAGAAAGAAAGAAAAAGAAAATCCCTTGTCCTGTTCTGTTCACTCACCCTCACATTCTCTCCCTCATCACCACCAGAGTTTAGTACCATAAAAATGGATCCATATGAACAGGAAAGAGAAACTGTTTCACTTTCCACGCTTTCTTCTCCCAAATATCACTCCTCATAATGTTGAACTTAACAAAGATTTCAGGGCCAGGCATGGTGGCTCAAGCCTGTAATCCCAGCACTTTGGGAGGCCAAGGCAAGCAGATCACGAGATCAGGAGTTCAAAACCAGCCTGGCCAACATGGTAAAACCTCATCTCTACTAAAAATACAAAAATTAGCCAGAGCATGGTGGACGGTGCCTGTAATCTCAGCTACTCGGGATTCTCAGCTGAGGCAGGAGAATCGCTTGAAACCAGAAGGCAGAGGTTGCAGTGAGCTGAGATCGCTCACGCCCCTGCACTCTAGCCTGGGTAACAAGAACAAAACTCCATCTCAAAAAAAAAAGAAAAGAAAAGATTTCAGGTCAGGAGCAGTGGCTCACACCTGTAATCCCAACACTTTGGAAGGCTGTAGTAGGAGGATCATTTGAACTCAGGAGTTCAAGACCAACCTGGACAACATAGTGAGACCCTGTCTCTACAAAAAGTAAAAAATTAGCCAGGCAGAGGCTGGGTGCAGTGGCCCACATCTATAATCCCAGCACTTTGGAAGGCCAAGGTCGGTGGATCACCTGAGGTCAGGAGTTCAAGACCAGCCTGACCAACATGGTGAAACCTTGTCACTACTAAAAATCAAAAATTAGCCAGTCATGGTGGTGTGTGCCTGTAATCCCAGCTACTCAGGAGGCTGAGGCAGGAGAATCACTTGAATCCAGGAAACGGAGGTTCCAGTGAGCCGAGATTGCGCCATTGCACTTCAGCTTAGGCAACAGAAAAGACTCCATCTTAAAAAAATAATAATAAATAAATACAAAATTAGCCAGGCATGGTGGCATGCACCTGTAGTCCCAGCTACTTGGGAGGCTGAGGTGGGAGGATTGCTTGAGCCCACGAGATGGAGGCTACAGTGAGCTGTGACTGCACCACTGCACTCCAGCCTAGACGACAGAGCAAGATCCTGTCACTCATTCATTCATACATACATAAATGATTTCATATAAAACCTTAGAGCCTTAAATGTTTTTCAAAATTTCAATGACAAATAAAATGATGTATTTATCTAACCATTGTTTTTTATACTGGAGCCTACTTGAGGGTAGTAGGTAGGAGGAGGGAGAGGATCAGAAAAAAAATATATTGGGTACTTGGCTTGAGTGACAAAATAATCTGCACAACAAAACTCCATGACACAAGTTCACCTACATAACAAACCTGCACATGTACCCCCGAACCTAAAATAGGTTTTTAAAAAAAAGAAATAAAGAATGATAGTTACTTACAGCCAGGCACTGAGGCTCACGCTGTAATCTCAACACACTGGGAGGCCAAGGCAGAAGGATTTCGAGGCCTGTGCAACACAGTGAAACCCCCATCTGTACAAAAAAAATTTTGGCTGGGTGCGGTGGCTCATGCTGTAATCCTAGCATGTTGGGAGGCCAAAGTGGGCAAATCACTTTAGCCCAGGAGTTAGAGACCAGCCTGGACAACATGGAAAAACCCCATTTGTTCAAAAAAATTAGCCAGGAATGGTGGCGCACGCCTGTAGTCTCAGCTACTTGGGAGGCTAAGGTAGGGAGGATCAGGACCATGTCTGTAGTGAGTCCAGACCATGCCAGTGCACTCTACCCTAGGTCATGGAGCAAGACTACGTCTCAAACCAAAAAAAATGATAGTCACTTCCATGGAAACTTATAGAAAACCTTTTAGTTTTATATTGTTAAGTTCACTCTAAGTTTTAAGCAGATATTGATTAATTTAAGAATGACTATATGTTTTATTAATCCGGAGAACATAAATAGTTAAGTCCCTAAAAGCTACAAAAGAGAAAAATAAGTAACTTAAAAAGAGATTTTATGGCTGGGCGCAGTGGCTCAAGCCTGTAATCCCAGCACTTTGGGAGGCCGAGGCGGGTGGATCACAAGGTCAAGAGATCGAGACCATCCTGGTCAACATGGTGAAACCCCGTCTCTACTAAAAATACAAAAAATTAGCTGGGCATGGTGGCGCGTGCCTGTAATCCCAGCTACTCAGGAGGCTGAGGCAGGAGAATTGCCTGAACCCAGGAGGTGGGAGGTTGTGGTGCGCCGAGATCGCGCCATTGCACTCCAGCCAGGGTAACAAGAGCAAAACTCCGTCTCAAAAAAAAAAAAAAAAAAAAGATTTTATATACTCCAAGAATGTTAAAAAAAAAGATTTTAAAGAGAAATATGACTTAACAATAATAGGACAGGAAAAATAGGAGAAGGGTCTAGCATAGGAACACTGCCGGGATTACCTGCGGGATAGTGAAATATGCCTTCTTTACGGTCATAATTGGATCTCCTTGTTTGTAACCGAAGTCTGCAAAGTCTTTTGGATCAGTGTGCACATACACATCAAAGGAAGAGTCCTGTTTGGGGGAGCTGAAAACCGATAAGAAAAGCTGCATAGTGTCAGTTAGCTGCAAAAATACAATTCTTCCTTAATGTTGTTCTTTACTTTTTTTGTGAGATGGAGTCTCACTCTGTCTCTGAGGTTGCAGTGCAGTGGCACAATCTTTGTTCACTGCTACCTCCACCTCCCAGGTTCAAGCAACTCTCGTTCCTTGGTCTCCTGAGTAGCTGGGATTACAGGCTCCTGCCACCACACGCAGGCTAATTTTTTTGTATTTTTAGTAGAGACAAGGTTTCGCCACATACCTAGTCTGGTCTTGAACACTCAACCTCAGGTGATCTGCCCGCCTAGGTATCCCAAAGTGCTGGGATTACAGATCTGACCCACTGTGCCTAGCCTCTTTACTTTTTTAATTACAAAAATCACAGAAAAAATTTTAACAATACCAAACTATAAAATACAGGAAATTAAAATCCCCCATGAGCAACCACTCCTTCGCCTCCCCTAGAAAAGCACCATGAGGCCAGGCATGGTGGCGCACACCTGTAATCCTGGCACTTTGGGAGGCTGAGAAAGATGAATCACCTGAGGTCAAGGAGTTTAAGACCAGCCTGAACAACATGAGGAAACCCTGTCTCTACTAAAAATAAAAAAGTAGCCAGGTGTGGTGGCGCATGCCTGTAATCCCAGCTACTTGGGAGGCTGAGGCAGGAGAATCGCTTGAATCTGAGAGGTGGAGGTTGCAGTGAGCCGAGATCGTGCCACTGCACTCCAGCCTGGACAACAAGAGCAAGACTCCATCTCAAAAAAAAAGCCAGGTGTGATGGCTCACACCTGTAATCCCAGCACTTTGGGAGGCCAAGGCAGGCGGATCACAAGGTCAGGAGATAGAGACCATCCTGGCTAACACAGTGAAACCCCATCTCTACTAAAAATATAAAAGTTAGCCAGGTGGGGTGGTGTGCACCTGTAGTCTCAGCTACTTGGGAGGCTAAGGCAGGAGAATCCCCTGAACCCAGGAGGCAGATGCTACAGTGAGCCAAGATTGTGCCACTGCACTCCAACCTGGGCAACAGAGAGAGACTCCGTCTCAAAAAAAAAAAAAAAAAAAACACCATGAGCTGTTTCCAGTGTCAATCAATTTATTTTCAATGAGGCCCAATTCTTTCGAATAATGCAAAATAAATTGGCTAACTGAAATCTAGAATTGAATCTTTTAGTCATAGAACCTCTGGAGAGGCGTTGGGAAAAACAGGACCGCATTATAGGGCCTGCTAGAGTATGGCCCCACCAGGGCGGGAGAACAATGCCCTATCCCAGGCGGCTGCTCAGACACTTACACGGCACCGTGATAGAAGTACCCAAGGAAGGGCGTGTTGGCCAGGGGCGACTGCACGCACAGAAAGGGAAACCAGTCGGGGACAGCGCGTGTCGCCTCAGCGGAGCAGAGCTGATCAAAAGGAGGATTGACGTCTCCTCCAAACACGCCGGTGAAGCAGGACCATCTGAACAGCTCTGTTAAGTTGGATGAGCATTCCTTGAAGGCAAACACAAAGGCAGGGGCTGTGGCCGCAGTGAGGATCTCCTGGCAAGCCCAATGAATGCTCACTCTTTAGGGCCAGTAGGACGTTATTGAGTAAGCAAGAAAATCTATAATCTGTCTCATCTAAAAGTGCCTTGTGCCCATAAAAGGTAAAATAGCTCTAGAATTTATTTTGTCAATTCCCCAAATAAGAAATTTCAGGCATTCAAGGGAACCACAGTTTTACTTGGGACATGAGATATTCCTGGTACAACAAAAGAAGAAAAGATAGTACAGAACAGAGCCCAAATGGAGACAAAACCATAGTACACCTCCTGTCTTAACTGTCATCACCATTCAACCCTTAGCCTACAGACATTTAGAGTGAGGGGAAACATTCCATATTCCACAAGGATCCCCAGGCCCTCATGAGATTATAACAGGACCCAATTAATGTCATCAAGAAATTACTTGGGGCTGGGTGCAGTGGCTCACGCCTGTAATTCCCAGCACTTTGGGAGGCCGAGGCAGGTGGATCACTTGAAGTCGGGAGTTTGAGAAAAATACTCAATTTATATTTTGTACCTGCTCTAAGCCTAAAAGAAAAAAAATAAAAATTTAATTTTTTTTTGAGACAGAGTTTTGCTCTTGTTGTCCAGGCTGGAGTACAATGGGGTGATCTAGGCTCACTGAAACCTCTGCCTCCTGGGTTCAAGCAATTCTCCTGCCTCAGCCTCCAGACTCACTGGGATTAAACACATGTGCCACTGCACCCAGCTAATTTTGTAGTTTTAGTAGAGACGGGGTTTCTCCATGCTGGCCAGGCTGGTCTAGAACTCCCAAGCTCAGGTGATCTGCCCACCTCAGCCTCCCAAAGTGCTGGGATTACAGGTGTGCGCCACCATGCCCGGCCAAAATTTAAAAATTTTTTTAAATACTCAATTTGAAAACAATTTGCAACAGAAAATATAATCTCAGTTTTGGAAGATCATGCCTTAAAAAGCTGTTGGGGCAAGGCATGGTGGCTCACACCTGTAATCCCAGGATTTTGGGAGGCAAATGTAGGAGGACTGCTTGATCCCAGGAATTTGAGACCAGTTGCATCATGGCAAAATCCGTCTCTACCAAAGATACAAAGCAATTAGCTGGGTCTGATGGTGCATGCCTGTGGTCCCAGCTACTCTGGAGGCTGAGGTAAGAGGATCGTTTGAGCCCGGGAGGTCAAGGCTGCAGTGAGCCATAATTGCACCATCGCACTCCAGCCTGGGTGACAGAGCAAGACCCTGTCTCAAAAAAACAAAAAATAAACAAAGCTGTTGGTGGCGCTCCTGGTGTTCTCACAGGTACTGTAACTTTTGTGCCCAATAATCAAAAGAACATACCTGGTCACAGCAGCAGCAAATATCACAGGCCCCAGCTGTTAAATTACAAGGACAAGGACCAAGGGGCTGATACACCTGGTTAGGAATGATAGTCACGTTCTCTGAAAAGTACACACGACAGAAAAATTCAGCTTAAGAAACACTCTGACAAAGCATTATCACATTTTTGACATTCAAAAGAAAGCTGAATTGTCTTGTTTTGTAAATCATCATTACCAAGTATGCTACATTAAGGAATCCACAAAATATCTGAGGCCTGCATCTACCACTCCAGCAAAAACCCAAATACAAGAAAACACGCCAGTTACAATGAACCAAAAAAGTCATCGTTGATGTGGAAGATAATCAATTGACTAAGAGTCACAAGTTAGTATACACATAATGTACTGATTTTAGGCTGGGTGGGGTGGCTCACACCTGTAATCCCAGCACTGTGGGAGGCCAAGGCAGGCAGTTCACCTGAGGTCAGGAGTTCGAGATCAGCCTGGCCAACATAGTGAAACCCTGTCTCTAACAAAAATACAAAAAGTAGCTGAGCATGGTGGTGTGCCCTTATAGCCCAGTTACTCAGGAGGCTGAGGAAGGAGAATCGCTTGAACCCAGGAGGCAGAGGTTGCAGTGAGCCGAGAGCATGCCACTGTACTTCAGCCTGGGTGACAGAGTGAGACTCCATCTCAATAACAACAACAATAATAATAATAATGTACTGATTATATTTTTCTTTTTTGTTTTTTTTTTTTTGAGACAGAGTTTTGCTCTTGTTACCCAGGCTGGAGTGCAATGGCGCGATCTCAGCTCACCGCAACCTCCGCCTCCTGGGTTCAGGCAATTCTCCTGCCTCAGCCTCCTGAGCAGCTGGAATTATAGGCACGCGCCACCATGCCCAGCTAATTTTTTGTATTTTGAGTAGAGACGGGGTTTCACCATGTTGACCAGAATTGTTTTGATCTCTTGACCTCGCGATCCACCTGCCTCGGCCTCCCAAAGTGCTGGGATTACAGGCTTGAGCCACCGCACCCGGTCTATTTTTCAATACTCTGAACAATCCTGCTACGACACATCCTGATACTAAGCATTTTCTCCTGCTAATTCATTTCCTCTTCTTGGAAGATAAAACTGAAGCCATGGTGACATATCAGAGAGCTTATGTGGAATCCATCCAATTACAAGATCATATTTAATTATGCTAGACACTTGACTTCAAGTCTCTATTATGCTGTGAACTCAGATCCTCACACCATGATTCTGTTTCAATCATGGAGGAACTAACTAAGTAAAAAGGAGCCAACTGTATTTTATTGTATTTTAATTTTTTCAGATAGGGATCTCACTACAATGCACAGGTTAGTACTAAACTCCTCAGTCCTCCTGCTTCAGCCTCCTGAGTAGCTGGGATTACAGGCGAGAGCCTATAGGAGGCTCATCTTTATAATTCCAGCATTTTGGGAGGCCAAGGTGGCTGGATCACTTGAGGTCAGGAGTTTGAGACTAGCCTGGGCAACATGATGAAGCCCATCTCTAATAAAAACACAAAACTTAGCCAGGCATGGTGTTACACACCTGTAGTCCCAGCTACTTGGGAGGCCAAACAGGAGAATCACTTGAACCCAGGATGGCGGAGGTTGCAGTGAGCCAAGATTGTAGCACTGCACTCCAGCCTGGCAACAAAGTGAGACTCTTCCTCAACCTCAAAAAAGAAAAACAAAAGATTAGGTGAGGTGGCTAACACCTGTAATCCCAGCACTTTGGGAGGCCGAGGCAAGTGGATCACAAGGTCAAGAGATCGAGACCATCCTGGCCAACATGATGAAACTTCATCTCTAATAAAAATACAAAAATTAGCTGGTGCATGCCTCTTATCGCTTGAACCAGGGAGGCGGAGGGAGGTTGCAGTGACCCAAGATCATGCCACTGCACACCAGCCTGGCGATAGAGCAAGACTCTGTCTCAAAAAAAAAAAAAAAAAAGAAACATAAAAATTAATTTAATAATTTTACTGAAGCCAGCATATCCAAAATGACATCATTGCAACAGGCAATCAATGTAAAAATTATAAATGAGCTATTTCACATTCTTTGTTTCACAGTAAAGTCCTCAAAAACTGGTGGCTATTTGATAGTTACAGCACATCTCAATTAAGACCCATCCCCTCTCAAGTGTCCAGTGTCCAGTGTCCAGACATGGCTCATGACTGTGGTACCCAATAGTGCAGGTGGGACAAACGTGGTATGACCACAAGAGTATGGGGGGGCTGGGTTATGCAGGGATGATACAGTGAGATGAAGCTGGAGTTATGCAAGGATGAGACGATGAGACAGAGGTGGGATTATGTAGGGATGATGCAGTAAGACAGCGAGACAGGGGAGGGGTTATGCAGGGATCCTACAGTGAGACAGAGGCGGGGTTATGCAGGGATGAGACAGTGAGACAGGGATGGGGTTATGCAGGGATGAGTTAGAGAGACAGGGGAGGGGTTATGCAGGGATGAGAATGTGAGACAGGGGAGGGGTTATGCAGGGATGAGAATGTGAGACAGGGGAGGGGTTATGCAGGGATGAGACAGTGAGACAGGGGAGGGGTTATGCAGGGATGAGATAGAGAGACAGGGGAGGGGTTATGCAGGGATCCTACAGTGAGACAGGGGAGGGGTTATGCAGGGATGAGACAGTGAGACAGGGGAGGGGTTATGCAGGGATGAGACAGAGAGACAGGGGAGGGGTTATGCAGGGATCCTACAGTGAGACAGGGGAGGGGTTATGCAGGGATCCTACAGTGAGACAGGGGAGGGGTTATGCAGGGATCCTACAGTGAGACAGGGGAGGGGTTATGCAGGGATCCTACAGTGAGACAGGGGAGGGGTTATGCAGGGATCCTACAGTGAGACAGGGGAGGGGTTATGCAGGGATGAGACAGTGAGACAGGGGAGGGGTTATGCAGGGATGAGACAGTGAGACAGGGGAGGGGTTATGCAGGGATGAGATAGAGAGACAGGGGAGGGGTTATGCAGGGATCCTACAGTGAGACAGGGGAGGGGTTATGCAGGGATGAGACAGTGAGACAGGGGAGGGGTTATGCAGGGATCCTACAGTGAGACAGGGGAGGGGTTATGCAGGGATGAGACAGTGAGACAGGGGAGGGGTTATGCAGGGATGAGATAGTGAGACAGGGGAGGGGTTATGCAGGGATGAGACAGTGAGACAGGGGAGGGGTTATGCAGGGATCCTACAGTGAGACAGGGGAGGGGTTATGCAGGGATGAGACAGTGAGACAGGGGAGGGGTTATGCAGGGATGAGATAGTGAGACAGGGGAGGGATTATGCAGGGATGAGATAGTGAGACAGGGGAGGGGTTATGCAGGGATCCTACAGTGAGACAGGGGAGGGGTTATGCAGGGATGAGACAGTGAGACAGGGGAGGGGTTATGCAGGGATGAGACAGTGAGACAGGGGAGGGGTTATGCAGGGATCCTACAGTGAGACAGGGGAGGGGTTATGCAGGGATCCTACACTGAGACAGGGGAGGGGTTATGCAGGGATGAGACAGTGAGACAGGGGAGGGGTTATGCAGGGATGAGACAGTGAGACAGGGGAGGGGTTATGCAGGGATCCTACAGTGAGACAGGGGAGGGGTTATGCAGGGATGAGACAGTGAGACAGGGCAGGGGTTATGCAGGGATCCTACAGTGAGACAGGGGAGGGGTTATGCAAGGATCCTACAGTGAGAGAGGGGAGGGGTTATGCAGGGATGAGATAATGAGACAGGGCAGGTTATGCAGGAATGAGACAGTGAGATTTTTGTATTTTTTTGTAGAGATGGGGTTTTGCCATGTTGCCCAGGCTGGTCTTAAACTCCTGGGCTCAAGAGGTCCACTTGCCTCAGCCTCCAAAAGTGCTGGGATTACAGGTGTCAGCCTCAAGCATATTTCTCAACGGAAAAAAAGTCAGTGCTTTGAATGGTACTGCTATCATGAATCCCTCCTGTTGTGTTTTTTTTTTTTTTTTAATTACTGAATACTTTGTTTTTGCTTTGTTTTGAATTTTAAGCCAAAGAAAAACTTAAAACTTTTAAGTAGGTAACACATTTGCATGGTTCTCAAAAAATCAAAAGCAGATTAAAAAAAACAAAAGTCCTCCCTGTCAGCCCTTTCCTAGTCCCACGTCATCCTCCAACTTCCTTCCAGAATTTCTTCATGCAAATGTTTGCATTTCTGCATCCTTTATGACAAGAGCCAGCACACTGTGGGCAGCCATCTGCACTTCTGGCTTTTCTCACTTCATTCATCTTGGAGGTCTTTCCATGCCTCCACTCTGAGGGCACAGTGGTCTGCTGCAGGGAGCTGTGGAAACTCCTCTTATCATCCTCAACTTCCAGAAGTACAAGAAGGACCACAGTTCAGGATGTAATAAGGGAAGTGGCAGTAAAGGAGCCTCCAGGTCACAGACTTTCCCTACTGAAGTCTGGAATGCTTCTCCCTCCACGCCACATGGCCATAAAGGCAAGAGATGTCAGAGTTTGCCGCAGGGGACAGGGAACATGGCAGTAGCAGTCATTATAGCAGACCCCTCTACTTCGGCACATCTAGTAGAAAGCTCTTTTGGTTTAAGAACATTGACCTCACGTGAGAGGGAGATTTTCTCACGTCCAAAGATTCATGTATATGGGCATAATGATCTTTGCTGTAGCATCAAAAGCTGGGAACAGGCCAGTTGCAGTAGTTCATGCCTGTAATCCCAGCACTTCAGGAGACTAAGGTGGGAGGATCACTTGGGCCCAGTAGTTCAAACCAGCCTGGCTAATATAGTGAGACCCTGTCGCTACAAAAAATGTAAAAATTAGCCAGGTGTGGTGGTACACGCCAGTAGCCCTAGCTACTGTGGAGACTGTGGCAGAAGAATCACTTGAACCAGGAAGGTTGGGGCTACAGTGAGCCAGGATCATGCCCCTGCATTCTAGCTGCAGCCTGTGTAACAGAGTGAGACCCTGTCTCTAAAAAAGTGAAAATAAAAATAAACTTTAAAAAAAGCTGGAAATGACATAAACTTCATCAGCAAAAGACTACTTAAATAAACAACAGTCACCAGGCACAGTGGCTCATGCCTGTAATCCCAGTACTTTGGGAGGCTGAGGTGGATGGCTCACCAGGTCAGCAGATCGAGACCATCCTGGCTAACACAGTAAAACGCCATCTCTATTAAAAATACAAAAAATTAGCCACGCATGGTGGCACATGCCTGTAATCCCAGCTACTTGGGAGGCTGAGGCAAGAGAATCACTTGAACCCAGGAGGCAGAGGTTGCAGTGAGCCAAGATCATGCCACTGCACTCCAGCCTGGGCAACAGAGCGAGACTCCATCTCAAAAATAAATAAATAAACAAACAATAGTCTATCCACACAATGGAATACAATGCAGCTCTTAAGAAGAATGAGGTGAACCTACATGTGTTCATGTGGAATCATCTGTTATAACATTTTTTTTAAAGTATAGAATCATGAATCATGTGTTGTTACTGTGTGTGTGTGTGTGTTTAAGGGAATACACACTTCTATAAATGAGCAGGCTGACTTTAGGAAGGGGAACAGGAAGTCAAAAGCATTCACTGAAAATCTGCTGTTTTTCTGTATTCTGTTATCTCATTCATGAGTTTTTCTCTTCCTTTTTTCTTTTTCTTTTTTTTTTTTTTTTTAAGAGACAGGATCTTGCTGTATCACCCACGCTGGAGTGAAGTGATGCAATAGCTCCCTGCAGCCTCAAATTCTTATGCTCAAGCAATCCTCCCACCTCAGCTTCCCTATAGCTAGGACTACAGGTAGGTACCATCATGCCCAGCTAACTTTTTGAAATTTTTTATACAGATAGTATCTGCTACATTGCCCAGGTTGGTCTCGAGCTCCTGGGCTCCAGAAATCCCCCTGTCTTGGCCTCCCAAAGCACTGGGATTATAGGCTGGGAGCCACTGTGTCTGGCCACCCTTCCTTTCTTCTTCTTAAGATGGAGTCATGAGAAGGCCATGCACAGTGGCTCACGCCTGTAATTCCAACACTTTGGGAGACCAAGGTGGGCAGATCACAAGGTCAGGAGTTCAAGACCAGCCTGGCAAATATGGTGAAACCCCATCTCTACTAAAAATACAAAAATCAGCCAGGTATGGTGGTGCATGCCTGTAGTCCCAGCTACTCGGGAGGCTGAGACAGGAAAATCTTTTGAACCTGGGAGGCGGAGGTTGAAGTGAGCCAAGATTGCTCCACTGCACTCCAGCCTGGGCGACAGAGACTCTGTCTCAAAAAAAAAAAAAAAAAAAAAGGAGTCACGAGAATCAATGCATATAAACAAATGTCACCTTCTCCCAAAAAGGATTCAAGGTGGCTTACAAAGATGCAAACAGTAGAGCAAGATCAAATAAATCTGAATAGTACAAAATGAAATTTTTTAAAAGAAAACTAAACAAACGAAAAGTAAGTTTAGAAAGGCAAGACAGACTCAAGTGGAGTTAAGCTCACGTGGCATACACTTATAATCAAACAGGCAAGCTTGACACAAATGTTTCTTTTTGGTGTTTTTTTTTTTTGTTTTTTTTTTTCTGTTTGTTTGTTTGAGACAGTCTTGCTCTTTCGCCAGGCACCAGGCTGAAGTGCAGTGGTGTGATCTTGGCTCACTGCAACCTCCACCCCTGGGCTTCAAGCAATTCTCCTGCCTCAGCTTCCCAAGTAGCTGGGACTACAGGCACATGGCCACCACGCCCAGTAATTTTTGTATTTTAGTACAGATGGGGTTTCACTATGTTGGCCAGGATGGTCTTGATCTCTTGACCTCATGATCTGCCCACCTCGGACTCCCAAAGTGCTGGGATTACAGGCATAAGCCATCGCACCCAGCCTGGTTTTTTTGAGGTTTTTTTTTATTTTTTTAGACAGGGTCTCACTCTGTCACCCAGGCTGGAATACAGTGACATTATCACAGCTCATCGCAGCCTCAACCTCCTGGGCTCAAGCAATCCTCCTATTTCTTCCTCCCAAGTAGCTGGGACCAACATGCAAGTTTTGATAGTCCAAGACTTCACTTGCCTGAGGCATTATGGGTCAGAGAAGAGTTGGCATAAATTTCCACCTGAATGAGCACATGTGCTAAACAGGTTGAATGACGAGATGCTGAAACCAGAAGGGTCTGCAGGATACAGGGGGACTCGGAGAAGGAATCTGTCTCATTGGAGAAACACCAGTCCAGACCTCTCTTCCACCTTACTGTAACTTCCAACACCTTCTAAAAAAAAAAAAAGGTTGCTTTACTTTTAAAGTGACTCAAAACAAAGTAATGCATAATTGAAAACACAATAAAAGCACACATCAGCCTCTGTTCATTTTATAAAAGGGAAATGTATACAAAGATGACATAGTTATCTTCAGTTCCACCCCATAAACCTACTACGGTAACATGCAAGCCCTGACTCCTACTCGACATAAAAGCAAACAACTTTTAGGCTGGGTGCGGTGGCTCATGGCTATAATCCCAGCACTTTGGGAGGCCAAGGCAGGCAGATCACCTGAGGTCAGGAGTTCAAGACAAGCCTGCCCAGCATGGCAAAACCTTGTCTCTACTAAAAATACAAAAAAATTAGCCAGCTGTGGTGGTGGGTGGCTGTAATCCTAGCTACTCAGGAGGCTGAGGCAGGAGAATCACTTGTATCAGGAAGGCAGAGGTTGCAGTGAGCTGAGAACGTGCCACTGCACTCTAGCTAAGGCGACAGAGCAAGGCTCTGTCTCAAAAAAAAAGCAACTTTTAGAATATTTAGAGAAAGCTAAACACAGATCTGATCAATAAACTCAGTTTATCTCACATCTTTTTAGTTTATCATCCTATCAGTGGAAAGTAAATACACAAAAACAGTCAATGAAAACCATCCTCAGTTTATCCCAGAATGACTTTAGACATGTACATGTTCATTCCTGAGCACAAGCAAAATTTGTCTTTCTCGTCCTTTTATCTCCAGAATTGATGTTGCATATACTATGTGCCCAATAAACACTTATTAAGTAGAAGATACTTAATCTCTCCAGGTTTGAGGATACTTACACATCAGCTCAGGGTTGGGCAAGATCGTGGTTATGAAGCTTATTTTTTTTTTTTTTTGAGATGGCGTCTCACTCTTGTCACCCAGGCTGGAGTGCAGTGGTATGATCCCGGCTCACTGCAACCTCTGCCTCCCAGGTTCAAGGGATTCTCCTGCCTCAGCCTCCCAAGTAGATGGGATTATAGGCACCCGTCATCATGCCCAGCTTATTTTTGTATTTTTAGTAAAGACAGGGTTTCACCATGTTGGCCAGGTTGGTCTTGAACTCCTGACCTCAGGTGATCTGCACACCTTGGCCTCTCAAAGTGCTGGGATTACAGGTGACCCAGCCTGACTAGCTTTTTTTTTTTTTTTAAGAGACAGGGTTGGCCAGGCACGGTGCCTCATGCTTGCAATCCCAGCACTTTGGGAGGCCCAGGCGGGTGGATCACGAGGTCAAGAGATCGAGATCATTCTGGCCAACATGGTAAAACCCCGTCTCTATAAAATAATAATAATAATAAATAAATAAATACAAAAGAGACAGGTTCTTGCTCTGTTCATCTGCTGGATGAAGTGCAGTGGTCTGATCTTAGATCTCTGCAATCCTGAACTCCTGGGTTCAAATAATCCTCTTGTCTCAGCTCCCCCACCCCCCTCCAAGTACTGGAGACTATAGATGTGCGCCACCACATCTGGCTATTCTTTGTTTTTGTTGTGTAGAGATGGGGTCTCACTATGTTACAGGCTGGTCTGGAACTCCTGGGCTCAAGCCTGAACCTCCCAAAGAGCTATGAGTACAGGCTTGAGCCATGACGCCTGGCATGAAGCTTTTTTGAGTCACACACCCATTCGACAATCTGAAGGAAACTGGTGACCCTCTCATCAGAAAAATGCACATCCACGCAGAACTTTACACACAATTTCACAGAGTTCACAGACCCCCTGAAATGCATCCAAGGACTCCAAACCCCAGAGTAAGGAACATGTAGGCTGGGTAAGTGTCTACCAGATTCAACAGCCCACAATTCCATGATTGTTCTGAGTATGGAGAAAGTCATGCCTTGTCAAATCAAGAAAGCACTGCAGAAACCCTGCATGGGGGCCCCTTCTCAGGCTACAGAGCAAGTGTATTTCTGGCCTTACCCCACCGGGGGTCACAGTCACACTCCAGTCTTCCGTTTCATTGCTCAGCACTCCACAAGTCGGAACTGGCAATATTCCTAAGAAAAAGAAGATCAGCTTGCAAGGCAGCACAGCCCAGCAGCTCCGGGGGTGCACTCGAGGCAAACTGCCTAGGATGGACTCTCCTTACAAGCCTAGGATTGGGCCCTTTACAAGCTGCGTGCGTGACACTGGGATACAGACAACCTCTCTGAACTTGTTTCCTCATTGGTCACAGGGGATGAAAAGATATTACTGCTCTTACTGGGAAAATGGGATGATACACAATCACAGCTCAATGAATGCCAGACGTTATTATTTCAAGCTTTCTTCGAATCTGTCCATCTGTCCTCTTTGGCCTGCAGCAGCACCCCCATCCTTTTCTTCCCGTGCGACTTTGCAGAGGACAGAGGCAGGGGCCCCAGAGGATGCCACCTAGCCCGGCTCCTTGGAAGGCCTGGATCCAGTCCAACCCCCACCCTTCCCAAAAGAAGGGCCGGACTTTACCCGCCTCGTCCTGCAGCACGGCCAGGGACACGGTCACACCCTCGGTATCTCCGACCAGGGAGGCCCTGACCACAGGCCCGGACATTCGGATGAAAGGAGGGATGAAAGCTAGGCGGGAAGAAAGGGGACAGGGAGGGGTTAGCAGTGCAAGAGCCATCGCCCAAGGTGTGTGTGGCAGCTTGCTTTGGCGGTCCAGACTCCCGAAGCTCCCGGGAGAGTCCAAGTCTGGCCCTTTAACGCCCAGTCCCCTCAGCCCCGGCCCACCGAGGTCCCTGCCGCGCCTTACACACCCAGGTCCCCCCACAGCGGCTTCATGAAGCCCTGCAGAAGGAGAAGCCCCCAAAGAGCGGCCGGAGGCTGGAAGCCCATCCCTTGGGCCTCGCGGGCCTGGCACAGAAGAACCGTGCCCGGCTGAGAAGCCTGGAAGAACTCAGACCCAAATACGCTACAGCTGCCGCCCGACCGCCGCCATCTTGTCAAGCGAATGCCGGGAGCTATGGCAACCACTAATCGGCGACCCGCCAGGAGGAGCGCCGCACTGTGATTGGGCCAGCGGCAAGAGCGGGAGCACCCCGGCCCCGCCCACAATGCCTCGCATTTTAGCTGCTTGACTGGCTGGGAGAGTGACGGCTGAAAAACTATACCTATTAGGTGTTCCGCTTAGTACCTGGGTGAGAAAACAATCTGTGCACCCAACCCCCATGACTCGCAATTTACCTATTTAGCAACCTGCGCATGGACTCCTGAGCCTAAAATAAAAGTTGAAAAAATAAAAATATAAAAGGTCGGGCCGGGCGCGGTGACTCAAGCCTGTAATCCCAGCACTTTGGGAGGCCGAGGCGGGTGGATCACGAGGTCAAGAGATCGAGACCATCCTGGTCAACAAGGTGAAACCCCGTCTCTACTAAAAATTCAAAAAAATTAGCTGGGCACGGTGGCACGTGCCTGTAGTCCCAGCTACTCTGGAGGCTGAGGCAGGAGAATTGCTTGAACCCAGAAGGCGGAGGTTGCGGTGAGCCGAGATCGTGCCATTGCACTCCAGTCTGGGTAACAACAGCGAAACTCCGTCTCAAATATATATATATATATATATGGTCATAAAAAGCAAGGGTGCGTGTACAGTTCAAAAACGAGTTTTCCCCTACCATGAAATTAATGCAACAACAGGCAAGAGCCAGCCTATAGACACTGGCTTCCAAATAAAAACGGTGGGATTTGCTCCTTAATAAACTTGATTTTTATAGGGATTTTTAGTGGGTGGGGACAAAAAGGGGATGGGGCTACATCGTTGTTTTATTTTTATTATTACCTTTTTTTTTTTTAAGACGGAGTTTCGCTCTCGTTACCCAGACTGGAGTGCAATGGCGCGATCTCGGCTCACCGCAACCTCCACCTCCTAGGTTCAAGCAATTCTCCTGCCTCAGCCTCCCGAGTAGCTGGGATTACAGGCACGCACCACCATGTCCAGCTAATTTTTTTATTTTTAGTAGAGACGGAGTTTCACCTTGTTGACCAGGATGCTCTCGATCTCTTGACCTCGTGATCCACCCGCCTCGGCCTCCCAAAGTGCTGGGATTATGGGCGTGAGCCACCGCGCCCGGCTTGTTTTATTATTATTCCCATTACTATCATATATTATGTGTTTTTTTATGTTTTATATTTTTATAAAATATATTTTATTTCATATATCTATCAAATATACATTATTGGTATCTATAAAACATATATAGGCCAGACGCAGTGGCTCACGCCTTTAATCCCAGCACTTTCGGAGGCTGGCGGATCACGAGGTCAGGAGTTCAAGACCAGCCTGACCAACGTGGTGAAACCCCGTCTCTACTAAAAATATAAAAATTAACCAAGGGTGGTGGCACGTGCCTGTAATCCCAGGTACTCAGGAGGCTGAGGCAGGAGAATTGCTTGAAGCCCGGAGGCGGAAGTGGCAGCAAGTCAAGATCTGCCACTGCACTCCAGCCTAGGTGACAGAGCCAGACTCCGGATCAAAAAATATATATATATAATATGTATTTATATTTTATCTTATAAAATAAATATTTATCTTTTATATAAATATAAAATATATGCACATTTTATACATTTTAAACTTGTATTTTATAATTGTATAAATTTTACATTTTTATAATTATTAATCATTTATTTTTATCATTATTGTTTTTCTTATCATTCTCCTAGGTTTTTAAAGGATTTTCTCCCCCGAACAGAGCTCTCAGCACTCTAAAAGCAGAGCCAATCACAGAACACACAAAAGGTTTTGCCCAGCAATAGGACAGGTGTGAAAGAATCAAAATTCTGTCTGGAAAAAAACTGTTTTTCTTCTGTCAATAGCCTCAAAACATTTCAAGCATTGTCGCAGCTTGGGGACTGAGAGTACAGGCCGTGAAGTCCGGCTGCCTGGCGTGGGATTTCACCTTCCCTCCACGGATATTCTCAGCTGTTAAGTGATGTTGGGCAAGTCAACCTCTCTCGGCTTCAGCTTCCTCATCTATAAAAAAGGCATGACAGCCTGTAATCCCAGCACTTTGGGAGGCCGAGGTGGGCGGGTCACTGGTGAAGAGATTGAAACCATCCTGGCAAACACGGTGAAACCCCATCTCTACTAAAAATACAAAAATTAGCTGGGCGTGGTGGCGTGCGCCTGTAGTCCCAGCTACTCGGGAAGCTGAGACAGGAGAATTGCTTGAACCCGGGAGGCGGAAGTTGCGGTGAGCCGAGATCGCACCATTGCATTCCAGCCTGGTGCCTGGCAATGGAACAAGACTGTCTCAAAAAAAAAAAAAAAAAAAAAAGGCATGATAATAATCCTTCCCTGGGGATTGTGTGAGGATGAAATGAGGTAACAGATCTAATGAGGTTAAAACAGTGCATGGCATTAGTAAGCACTTAGTTTATGATCACTTGTTAGCTACCAGCGGGTAGTGTGTCCTTTAGCTGGGACAACCATTATGGCATTGAGCATTGTGGCTGACTGACAGTAAATGCCAAATAAATGTTGGCCATTATTACTTTTTTTTTTTTTTTTTTTTTTTGAGACAGGGTCTCATTCTGTCACCCAGGCTGGAGTGGTGCAGTGACACAATCATAGCTCACTACAGCCTCAAACTTTTGGGCTCAGGTGATCCTCTCACCTCAGCCTCCCAAGTAGCTGGGACTACACCACCACGCCCAGCTAATTTTTGCATTTTTTTGTAGACACGGGGTTGCACCATGTTGCCCAGGCTGGTCTCAAACTCCTCACCTCAAGTGATCCTCCTGCCTTGGCCTCCAAAAGTGCTGGGATTACAGGTATGGGCCACCACACCTGGCCCCAGTATTCTCTCAATGTTCAGTTATATATTCATATATAACTGAATGTTATTATAGTCATATATCATTGAATATATATATAGATATATATATTCATATGTAACTGAATCTTAGATCAGCAAATCTAACATTGTGGAAGGATTCTGAAAGTTGAGCTTTATAAGAGCCTGACACTGGGCATTATCTTTTTTTTACACTCCTTGAAAAATTGTGGGTCACTGCAGTTCTAACATGAGCATGAAATTTTCCCCTGTATCTCAGCTCCTCTCTGGAAGACTGCGAAATATTTACCTCTCTTGATATCTTGGAAGAAAGCCTAGGAGAATATCACTAAGAGGAAAGCTTTCACACACTTAAATATTTCTGTTATTCCCCCTCTGTCTCTGGGAGAAATTAATCTGCAGGTTAAGTTGGCATGGCCAAGCAGTAAAGATTGGGAGACAAATCCTCCCAAAAGAAAACATTACTGAGCCAGACTTGGTGGCTCATCCCTGTAATCCCTGCACTTTGAGGGGCCAAGGCAGGCAGATCACTTGAGGCCAGGAGTTCAAGACCAGCCTGGGCAACACAGAGAAACCCATCTCTATCAAAAAATACAAAAGTTAGCTGAACAGCCAGGCGTGATGGCTCACGTCTGTAATCCCAGCACTTTGGGAGGCTGAGGCGGGCAAATCACGAGGTCAAGAGATCAAGACCATCCTGGCCAACATGATAAAACTCCATCTCTACTAAAAATACAAAAATTAGCTGGGCATGGTGGTGCGTGCCTGTAGTCCCAGATACTCAGGAGGCTGAGGCAGGAGAATCGCTTGAACCCGGGGAGCAGAAGTTGCAGTGAGCCAAGATCTCACCACTGCACTCCAGCCTGGGCAACAGAGTGAGATTCCATCTCAAAAAAAAAAAGATAGAAAATACCTGAAGCTGGTGATCAGCAGCTTCCCAATAAGATCTCGCGAGTTGGACAAGCAGGCTCAAGCATGCATAGTAAGAGGCAAGATGGCAGAGTTTTACTGGTGTATAACCTTCCTCTAGGAACACTCGACTGGTAAAGGAACATGCCTCAAATGAATGTGCGCACAGCTTTTTAAACACATGGCATGTGCCCCTCCCAAGCCGACCCCAAGGAAAAATCAAGGGAGGACACAAACCTCGGACCATGCCAATGTACAGAAACCCCAAGTCAAGAATCAGATAAGGCACTTGAATCTCTCAAGTCGCCCACTTGGCCCTCTTCCAAGTGTCCTTTACTTCCTTTTGTTCCTGCTCTTAAACTTTTTTTTTTTTTTTTTGAGACAGAGTTTCGCTCTTCTTACCCAGGCTGGAGTGCAGTGGCGCGATCTCGACTCACCGCAACTTCTGCCTCCTGGGTTCAGGCAATTCTCCTGCCTCAGCCTCCTGAGTAGCTGGGATTACAGGCACGCACCACCATGCCCAGCTAATTTTTTGTATTTTTAGTAGAGACGGGGTTTCACCATCTTGACCAGGATAGTCTCGATCTCTTGACCTCGTGATCCACCCGCCTCAGCCTCCCAAAGTGCTGGGATTACAGGCTTGAGCCACCGCGCCCGGACTCTTAAACTTTTAAATAAACTTTTACCTCTGCTATATACCTTGCCTTGGTCCCTCACTCTGCCTTATGCCACTTGGCCAAATTCTTTCATCTGAGGAGGCAAGAATCAAGTTGCTGCAGACCTGTACAGATTCATCACTGCTAAGGGTAATCCAGGATCTTACCCAAGATCACCAAGGTGGTACCCCTGCAACAGAGGTAAACTATTCATATCTCAGATAGTGAGACTAAAGGGCAAACCTGTCAAAAATAACAACTACAACTTTTAGAGACAATGACAATATACCAAGGTATAAATATTGTAGAAACAATAAAATAAAAATCAGGCTGGGCATGGTGGCTCATGCCTGTAATCCCAGCACTTTGGGAGTCCAAGACAGGTGGATCATGAGGTCAGGAGTTCAACATCAACCTGGCCAAGATGGTGAAATCCCGTCTCTACTAAAAATGCAAAACTTAGCCAGGCATGGTGGCCCACACCTGTAGTCCCATCTACTCAGGAGGCCGAGGCACTAGAATTGTGTGAACCTGGGAGGCAGAGGTTACGGTGAGCTGAGATGGCACCACTGCACTCCAGGTTGGGTGACAGAGCAAGATTCTGTCTCAAAAAATAAAGGGATGGAAAAAGATGTTCTAATGAAAATTAAAAAAGGGCAAAAGTAGCTATACTTATATCAGATAAAATAGATTTCAAGACTGGGTGCAGTAGCTTACACCTGTAATCCCAACGCTTTGGGAGGCAGAGGCAAGAGGAGGTCAGGAGTTGCTTTAGCACAGGAGTTCAAGACCAGCCTGGACAATATGGCAAGATGCCATCTCCACAGAAAAAGAAAAAAAAAAGGCCAGACATGGTGGCTCACACCTGTAATCCCAGCACTTTGGGAGGCCAAGGTGAGTGGATCACCTGAGGTCAGGAGTTCAAGAACAGTCTGGCCAAGATGGAGAAACTCCACCTCTACAAAAATTAGCCAGGTATTGTGGCATGTGCCTGTAATCCCAGCTACTCAGAAGGCTGAGGCAAGAGACTCACTTGAACCCTGGAGGCAGAGATTGCAGTGAGCTAAGATCAGGCCACTGCACTCCAGCCTGGGCAACAAATCGAGACTCTGTCTCAAAAATAAATAAATAAATGTGGAGTAGGTTACACCGTCTACAATGATGAAACCATGTAACGGTGCATTTATCAGAATGTATCCCATTAAGCAATGCATGACTATATTATTAAATTGTGTATTGCATCATAAAGCCTGTTCAAATGGGTGATGTGTTTAAAAAATAACATCTACTGAACCATTAAAATTTTACCATAAATAAAATAAATAAATAAATAAAAAGAAAAAAATGATTACAAGAAAAATTATAAAAAGAGGCAAAGAAGGCTGCGTGGTGTTTCACGCCTGTAATCCCAGCACTTTGGGAGGCCTAGGCTGAGGCAGGTGGATCAACCGAGGTCAGGCGTTCGAGACCAGCCTGACCAACATGGAGAAACCCTGTCTCTACTAAAAATACAAAATTAGCCAGGCGTGGTGGCGCATGCCTGTAATGCCAGCTACTCAGAAGGCTGAGGCAGGAGAATTGCTCGAACCCGGGAGGCAGAGGTTGCGGTGAGCTGAGATCACACCATTGCACTCCAGCCTGGGTAACAGAGCAAAACTCAGTCTCAGAAAAAAAAAAAAAAAAGAGGCAAAGAAGGTCATTATATAATGATAAAGGGATCAATTCAGCAAGAGAATATAACTGCTATAAATATACATGCACTCAACACTGAAGCACTCAGATACATACAGCAAATATTATTGGGGCTAAAGAAAGAGACAGACCCCAGTACAGTAAAGCTGGAGATTTCAACCCCACACTTTGAGCATTGGACATATTATCTAGAGAGAAAATCGACAAGGAAATATCAGACCTAATTTGCACCATAGACCAAATGGACCTAATAGATATTTATGAAACACTTCATCTAATGGCTATAGAATATACATTCTTCTAAGCACATGGATCATTGTCAAGGATAGATCATACGTTAGGTCACAAAACAAGCCTTTACAAAAAATAAAAATCAGATCAAGCATCTTTTTTTTTTTTTGATACAGAGTCTCACTCTTGTCACCCAGGCTGGAGTGCAAACGCACAATCTTGGCTCACTGCAACCTCCAGCTCCCAGGTTCAGGCGATTCTCCTGCCTCAGCCTCCTCAGTAGCTGGGATTACAGGCATGGGCCACCACACCTGCTTTGTTTTTCTATTTTTAGTAGAAACGGGGTTTCGGGGAGGGGAAAAAAAAAGAAATGGGGTTTCACCATATTGGCCAGGCTGGTCTCAAACTCCTGACCTCAGGTGATCCTCCCACCTCAGCCTCCCAAAGTGCTAGGATTATAGGCATGAGCCACTGTGCCCAGACCCAGATCAAGTATCTTCTCTGATCACAATGGAATAAAACCAGAAATCACTAACAAGAGGAACTTTGGAAAGTATACAAACACACGGAAATTGGCCAGGTGCAGTGGCTCACACCTGTAATCCCAGGTGTGATTAGGAGGCCGAGACAGGTGGATCATCTGAGGTCAGGAGTTTGAGACCAGCATGGCCAACACGGTGAAAACCTATCTATACTAAAAATACAAAAAATTAGCTGGGCATGGTGGTGGGAACCTGTAATCCTAGCTACCCTGGAGGCTGAAGGAGGAAAATCACTTGAATCTGGGAGGCAGAGGTTGTAGTGAGCTGATATCATGCCATTGCACTCCAGCCTGGGCGACAAGAGAGAAACTTCATCTCAAAAAAAAAAAAAAAAAAAAAGAAAGAAAAAAAAGATCATTCATCATGACTCATTAGGATTCATCCCAGGGATACAAGGATGGTTCAACACAGGCAAATCGACGTGATACATTGTGTCAACAGAAGGAAGGACAAAAGCTATCTGATCATTTCAATGGATGTTGAAAAAGCATTTGATAAAATTCAACAACCTGTCATGATAAAAAAAAAAAAATCTTCAAAAAACTGGGTATAGAAGGAACATACTTCAACGGAAAAAAAAAAAAGACACATATAACAGACCCACAGCTAACATCACACTGAACAGGGAAAAGACTGAAAGCTTTTCCTCTAGCATTTGGATGGCCACTGTGTTGAATACCAGTGGCCAAAGTGGGCCAATAAAGATGCCCACTTTGGCCACTGGTATTCAACACAGTACTGAAATCTTAGCTAGAGCCATCAGTCACGAGAAAGAAATAAAAGGTATTCGAATTAAAAAGGGAAAAAGCAAAATTATCCTTGTTTGCAGATACGATATTGTATCTAAAAAACCTAAAGATGCCGCCGAAAAACTATAAGAATTGATAAATTTAGTAAAGTGTCAGGATACAAAATCAACATAGAAAAATCAGTACTATTTATTTATTTACCTATTTAGAGACAGGGTCTCACTGTCACCCAGGCTGAAGTTCAGTGGTGTGATCATGGCTCATTGAAACCTCTGCCTCTTGGGCTCAAGTGATCCTCCTACCTCAGCCTCTGGAGTAGCTGAGACTACAGGCAAGCACCACCACACCTGGCTAATTTTTATGTTTTTGTAGAGACGGGGTTTGCCATACTGCCCAGGCTGGTCTCAAATGATCCGCCTGCCTCAGCTCCCAAATTGTTGGGATTACAGGTATAAACCACCAAACGCAGACCAAGATTTGAAATTAAAGTTCTTCACAGTTGAATACGAAATTGTCTGGCATTTAACCAAATGCAGTTTAAAAGTACACATTTGAAGAAGAGTTGAATGAGCATGAGATAAACAATGAATGAAAGGAAACAATTCAACCAAATATGAAAATTATTTTATTATAAAAATTTATATAAAATAACTCGTAAGTTCAACAGTTAAAAACAAGTTAAACAGAACAAAGCAAATATATGACATTTCAAGTGAAAAAGTAATAATAAAAGCCTGGCTAGCTTGTTTGAAAGTTTATCTCTTTTTTTTTGGGGGGACGGTGTTTCGCTCTTGTTACCCAGGCTGGAGTGCAATGGCGCGATCTCGACTCACCGCAACCTCCGCCTCCTGGGTTCAGGCAATTCTCCTGCCTCAGCCTCCTGAGTAGCTGGGATTACAGGCACGCGCCACCATGCCCAGCTAATTTTTTGTATTTTTAGTAGAGACAGGGTTTCACCATCTTGACCAGTATGGTCTCGATCTCTTGATCTTGTGATCCACCCACCTCGGCCTCCCAAAGTGCTGAGATTACAGGCTTGAGCCACAGCGCCCGGCCAAAAGTTTATCTCTTTTAGATATACACTTTATTTCCTAGACTTAAAATACTGATTTCCATTATGCTCAATTAGTATAGGAAATATTAAGTATTATTTTTAAAAGACAGGTTCTCAAACTCAAGGATTAACAAATATTTGCAAAGTGATCACCAGTCTTTGTCTATTTGTTTAAAAGCACATATCCAGAATATAAAATCTATCTGAAATTATCTAAGTATCAAATTATTTTAGTAAGACTCAGCTTGTATAAAGAGAAAATTAAAATCTTATTTACATACAAAGTTTTGTACACAATGGGTTTGTCAGTACACTTTTTTTTTTTTTTGAGAAGCAGTTTCACTTTTGTTGCTCAGGCTGGAGTGCAATTGGCGCCATCTTGGCTCACTGTGACCTCCGCCTCCTGGGTTCAAGCGATTCTCCTGCCTCAGCCTATCCAGTAGCGAGGATTACAGGCACTTGCCACCATGCCCAGCTATTTTTTGTATTTTTAGTAGACACAGGGTTTCACCATGTTGGCCAGGCTGGTCTCAAACTCCTGACCTCAGGTGATCCACCCACCTCGGCCTCCCAAAGTGCTGGGATTACAGGCGTGAACCACTGCACCTGGCCATCAGTACACATTTAAAGAAGACAAACCAAACCAGCCACTATTCCTTAAATTCTTTGTACAAATATGTGCTAGAAGCTAAAAGGACTCTTAATAATTTCAAGATTACATAGAAAAATATATTTTTTGTTGTTGACATTACAAATACTTTTGCTTTTGAACTTATAAACATTTTCGGTGTTCAGTCCAAATTTTTAGCAGAGATAGGCTCTCACTTTGTTGCCCAGGCTGCTCTTGAACTCCTGGGCTCAAGCAATCCTCCTGCCTCGGCCTCCCAAAGTGCTGGGCTTATAGATGCAGTTTCAATATTAACGTGGATTCCCCCCCTCCATTAAAAAAGGAAAGAATTCAATATGAAAACCATACTTAACAGAGAGCCCATTTTCCCCAGAAAATTCTCCCTCAGAACCAGTCATTAGCTTTCACAAATAAGCTCTTCCCACAACTGTTTTTGAAGATTTTCTTCTGCACATGTTCTCCTTACTCATTTAAAATGAGATTTTGTAGTTATTTGGTGACAAACTATTATGTAGATGACTTTGTCCACATATGTACTGATATCAGACAAAAAAGTAAATATTTGCAAATAAATATCTGAGGCTAATATCTGTCTCAATTTAGACAGTAAGAATTTTATGGCCGGACGCGGTGGCTCACGCCTGTAATCTCAGCACTTTGGGAGGCCAAGGTGGACGGATCACTTGAGGTCAGGAGTTCAAGACCAGCTTGGCCAACATGGTAAACCCTGTCTTTAGAAAAAAAAAAGAATTTTATTTACATGACTATTGCAGTTAACTGTTGATTCAAATAAGATGCTCTATGTTGATTAGTGCCATCACTCCACAAACAATCCCTTTTCCAAAGCTAAGGTCAAATTTCGCATGCCACGCATTTCACAATGAGGACCTGGATTCAGGTAGTAGGTTACAGAGCCCATGGTGGGTAATGACAAGCTGACTTTAACGAATGATCATTTCATTAAAAAAATAAAAGCCACAAACATGTGCTTTCTTGCTCCTTTTTGGACAGAAACGAGTCATAGAATATTTTAGGATCTTATTGCATAGAATGACTCCCTGAAACAAATCAGTGCTCCAGAAGCACAGGATGGGAAGGATGTTCGGGAAATACTTTCTGTAAGAAGGTCACTACATTAAAAATCATCCTATACCTATCTTTATTTTGTTCAGTCTTCCCGACAAAGATTCTGCTACATAATTTCTATTAACAGCACTAACAGGCCAAGAAAACAGCTGATCCTCAGGCAGACACTTTCAGCTTCTTTTTCTTGGCTTTCAGTACTGGAGGCAGAGAAATCTTGAAGGCTGTCCTGAAATTACAGAGAGGAAAACATTTTGTAATGTTCTAGAGCTGTGACGTATGAGCCACCCACACAATCTCAAAGGTACTTACTCGCAGGTAGTACAAATGGGGCTGAAATTGCAGAATACTGTAAATTGGAAAAAAAAAAAAAAGAAATAGGGTGGCTGAAAAACAACACAGCTGAGAAACTGTTTTCCTGCCCCCCAACATAGAAAAAAAAGAAAAACTAGGTACATGAACTTACTTGACAAACACACAGAACAGACATAACCAATTTCAATGAGATTTCGATGACAGAAGCAAGCAGCCCTGTAGTCAACATGAACTGGGGGTGGCAGGATTAACTGAGATCTCTGATCTTGATCGGGAAGAAACATCCACTGTAAAATAAACAAACAAAAAGAAGGTTTATTTAAAACATTGAGAAAAAATAACGTGAAGCCCACCCTTCTAGGCCTTGAAATTCCAAGGCCCACATGTATTCCTTTCTTCCAAGTACTAGCACCAGCCATCTTGCTTCCAGTCCTTTCCCAGCACACAGAGGTCGTCCGTCCCTCTGGGCATCAGGGTTGCCGCTGTCTCCTTACCAGCAAGTACTGCAGAAGGGACGGCATCTGGGGCACCTTCAGGTACAGTCCTCCTGTGATGTCACAAGCCTGCAAGACACAGACAGTTTGCTGCCAAACTCACACTTATATAGGCTTTCCAGAGGAGTGGGATTCTCACCAGCAATGCTTTAGGTCTACAAAACCAGAGGGGGATATGCAAATTATTATTATTATTTTGACAGAGTCTTGCTTTGTCACCCAGGCTGGAGTGCAGTGGCGTGATCTTGGCTTGCTGCAACCTTCTCCTTCCGGGTTCAAGTGATTCTTCTGCCTCAGTCTCCCGAGTAGCTGGGATTACAGGTGCCTGCCACCATGTCCCTCTAATTTTTGTATTTTCAGTAGAGATGAGTTTCACTTTGTTGGCCAGGCTGGTCTCGAACTCCTGACCTCATGATCCAATCACCTCAGCCTCCCAAAGTGCTGGGATTACAAGCGTGAGCCACTGTGCCTGGCCTCTGCTTTCTATCTCTATGGATATAACTCCAATTGTACCTAGGAAATGAATTGCTGCGTCACCTGCTAATTCTTTTCTTTTTTTTTTTTTTTTGACATGAGTCTCACTCTCTCACCCAGGCTGGAGTGCAGTGGTGTGATCTCAGCTGATTGCAATCTCTGCCTCTTGGGTTCAAGTGTTTCTCCCCACTTAGCCTCCTGAGTAGCAGGGATTACAGGCATGTGTCACCACCACATCTGACTAATTTTTGTTTCTTTCTTTTTTTTTTTTTGAGACAGAGTCTAGCTCTGTTACCCAGGCTGGAGTGCATGGGGACAATCTTGGCTCTGGGTTAGGGTTTTACACTTGGATCTTGGCTTAGGGTTTTCTAGCTCTGATTCTAGGATTGAGGGTCCTCTGATAGTACAGTCCTGGTTCAGTCGGTCTATTAGATTCATTTACACATTTAACAACTATTTTAGAGCACTGTGCAGGGTTATAGCAGTCAACAGTGTCCATCCTCGTGAAGTTAACGTTCTAGTGGAGAAGACAGAGAGTAAATCAGTTAAGTAAATGCAAAAATAATGTTATAGGTTATGACCACTTCTATAAAGAAAACTAAAGCAGGGTAAGGGAAGAGGGAGTAACACTGACACTGGTGGTCAGGGAAGGCTTCTCTGAGGAGGTGGCACAGAAGTAGAGTCCTGAAGGCAGGCAGGGAGTAGGCCATGCAAACACCTGAGGGAAGAGCTTGCGAGCAGAAAGAACAGCTAAAGCAGGGACCCTCTGGCGGAAGCAGGCCTGTTTCAAGCAGTAGCGAGGAGGCAGGTGGGGCCAGATAGGAGAGGGAAAGTGTGAAAGATTCGGGCAAAAGGTTCCCATGAGCCTCAGCAGGCAGCATCTGAAAGGCCCTGGCAGGCCCCGACTCTGGGTTTTAGTTGACATGTGATGACAGGCCGTGGGAGGGTTTCAAGCAAGTGAGCACCATGTTCTAATTTATATTAGGTTGGTGCAAAAGTAATTGCAGTTTTTGCTGTTAGATTATAGGCATGAGCCACTGAGCTAAGCCAGGATATATTTTAAAGACAGAATCAACAGGATTTGCTCATGGACATTAAAGGAGGGAAGAGAAGAGGCAGGAAGAGTTGGGTTTTTGCTTGAACTGCTGAGTGAGCTGCATTGCCACTTAGGAAGATGGGGCAGGAAGAGGCTGAGAGGACAAACCAAGAGCTCTCTGCTTCGGACACATGACGTTGAAGATGCCTGCCAGACGTCCAAGAGGAGGTACTACGTACATGGCTGATCCTGCAAGTCTGGAACTCAGGAGAGTCTGGGGCTGGACTAGAGAGTGAATGTGAGGGTCGAGGAGGTAGAGCTGGCATTTGAAGTCATGGCAGAGGCAAGATTGTCTTGGAGTTACAGATAATGTGTAGAATGAAATGTGTTGCTAACGCATGAATTCAAACTTTTTGAATTTTTACTACTGAAACATAATACATACAAGAATCTATATACATAATGTGTAAATATGGTGTGTGTGGTTTTTTTTTTTTGAGATGAAGTTTCGCTCTTGTTGCCCAGGCTGGAATGTAATGGCACCATCTTGGCTCACTACAATTTCCGCCTCCCAGGTGATTCAAGTGATTCTCCTGCCTCAGCCTCCCGAGTAGCTGGGATTACAGGCATGTGCCACCATGCTTGGCTAATTTTCCTATTTTTAGTAGAGATGGGTTTCTCGATGTTGGTCAGGCTGGTCTCAAACTCCTGACCTCAGGTGATTTGCCCTCCTCAGTCTCCCAAAGCGCTGGGATTACAGGTGTGAGACACCGCGCTTGGCCAAATATGGTTTAAATAATAAAATAAACATCATATATCTACGATCAGCTGAAGAAACAGTACAATCTCAGAACCTTTGAAGCCTATGAATTTCTGACTGGACCTTGCTCTCCTCATCCTTCATCTGCAGTAACCTAAATTCAGGGTTTGTCACAGTTTTGTGCTTGTAACTTTAGGAAACAACACTTGTGGCCAAAAAACATCTAACATAAGCTTGGTAATTTCTTCAGACTTTTTTTTTTTTTTTTTTTTTTTTGAGACAGAGTTTCGCTGTTGTTACCCAGGCTGGAGTGCAATGGCACGATCTCGGCTCACCGCAACCTCCGCCTTCTGGGTTAAGCAATTCTCCTGCCTCAGCCTCCCGAGTAGCTGGGACTACAGGCGCGCACCACCATGCCCAGCTAAGTTTTTGTATTTTTAGTAGAGACAGGGTTTCACCATCTTGACCAGTATGGTCTCGATATCTTGACCTCGTGATCCACCCGCCTCGGCCTCCCAAAGTGCTGGGATTATAGGCGTGAGCCACCGCACCCGGCCATTTCTTCAGACTTACTTTAGTGTTAGGGTTTTGTTTCCCTTTCAAGTTAAAGTAAAATTCAGTTTTTGTCTTTTTCATTAAAAAGCAACATCTGGCTTTGTGAGCAGAGAGAACACCTAGCGCAGTGACCCTCTGGCAGAAGCAGGCGTGCTTCAGACCCTCAGGCAGTAGCAAGGAGTTGGGTGGGGCTGGATGGGAGAGGGAGAGTGTGAAAGATTCAGGGTAAAAGGTTCCCAGGAGCCTCAGCAGGTAGCACAGTGGCTCACGCCTTTAATCCCAGCACTGTGGGAGGCCGTGGAGGGTGAATCACGAGGTCAGGAGTTCAAGATCGGCCTGGCCAAGACAGTGACACCTCGTCTCTGCTAAAAATACAAAAATTAGCCGGGTGTGGTGGCAGGCACCTGCAATCCTAGCTACTCAGGAAGCCGTAGCAGAGAACTGCTTGAACCCAGTGGGGGAGGTTGCAGTGAGCCCAGATCCCGCCACTGCACTCCAGCTTGGGTGACAAAGTGAGACTCTGTCTCAAAGAAAAAAAAAAAAAGCAACATCTGATAGTGCTGTCCAACAGAAATATAATGCAAGCAATATGTAATTTAAAATTTTCTAGTCGCTCCCTAAGAAAGGGGGAAATAAATACATAAAATTAGCTTTAGGCCGGGCACGGTGGCTCATGCCTGTAATCCCAGCACTTTGGGAGGCCAAGGTGGGCAGATCACGAGGTCAGGAGTTCAAGACCAGCCTGGCCAACATGGTGAAATTCTGTCTCTACTAAAAATACAAAAATTAGCCGGGCGCAGTGGTGAGCGCCTATAATCCTAGCTACTTGGGAGGCTGAGGCGGGAGAAACGCTTGAACCCAGGAGGCAAAGGTTGCGGTGAGCTGAGACCACGCCACTGCACTGCAGCCTGGGTGACAGAGCAAGACTCTGCCTCAAAAAAAAAAATAAAAAATTAGGTTCAATAACATGTTTTATTTAACCCAATATACCCAAAGCATTTTCATTTGAATTGTAATCAATATAAAAATCACTAATTTTCATAACCAGCCACACAAAGCATGGTTTTAAAACATACCTGTTGGAGGAGCCCTGAATCGGAGTCTAAAACACAGGCATCAATCAAAATATTCTGAAAGAAACATTTTGAAGATATTACAGGAATAATGACAATAATGACTACCCTACACTGAGCACCTACTACACGCCGTACTCTATGCTTAAAACAGCTTGCTCAATACGCATCATGACTCTGGATGGCAGATACTCCATTTGCATTTGGCAGCTGAAGCACCCAGGACATGGCTGGGCTGTGGTCACAGAGCCAGCAGGTGGCAAAGCTGTCACCCCACTCAGCCTATCTCCAAAATTCATGCTTTTTTCCCTACATCATGCTGCCACTCCATAATAGAGAACATTATGCAAGGCTACAGCCGCACTTCACATGAAAACTAAAGTTTTAAGAAGGTTTTCTTTATAAATATATCAAAGAAGAAATGTATACTTCATCTGAACGTGTCAGCTTTTTGCAAAGTAAAAATACTGAATCCTTTTTTTTTTTTGAGACGGAGTTTCATTCTTGTTACCCAGGCTGGAGTGCAATGGCGTGATCTCGGCTCACCGCAACCTCCACCTCCTGGGTTCAGGCAATTCTCCTGCCTCAGCCTCCCGAGTAGCTGGGATTAAAGGCGCACTATTTTTTGTATTTTTAGTAGAGACAGGGTTTCAGTATGTTGACCAGGACAGTCTCGATCTCTTGACCTCATGATCCACCTGCCTCAGCCTCCCAAAGTGCTGGGATTATAGGCGTGAGCCACCGCGCCCGGCCAAAATACTGAATCTTTATAGACCTCACCACAGCAAAATGATAAAGAAATTGAGGCAAGGTTTATACAGCAAACTGTCAAACCAGGGATTCTTGGCATGGGGTCCAAAGATGGGCTAAGGGTGACCTGAATACCATAAACTCTATGCAAAACCGTGGCTGAGTGCACATTGTTTTGGAAATGCATCAGATTCTCAAGTGGTCCAGGACCCAAAATAGAGAAAAGACTACAACACAATACAGATTCTGGATTCCTAGCCCATTCACAAGGCAATTTAATCAGAATATCTCAGAGTAGAGCATTCAAAAAATGAAACTCACTCCTTCTTTATGAAACAAATACTTTTAAAACATAGGCTCTTGGTTCACCTGTTTCTGTGCTGCGAAGATGACATTCATGAAGTTCATATACTGCAATGCACTGTCTTCTGCAGCCTTAATCACCTAAAAATCACAGCCATGTTAATTCCGCTCAGGCACATCCCAGTTCTCTCACACCAGTGTCACACAATATACTGTGAACCACAATCAACATTATTCCAATCTGTCTTCCCATTTATCATTATTAAATGATACCTAAAGGATAAAGATGATAGTAACATTTCCACCCAAATCCCACCACCCAGCGACAGTCCACGTAAGGGTTTGAGGAACTCATTCTCGAGAGCACCTGTGTAGGTAGGTATATACGACACACACACACAAAATACACACACATGTACATACGCCCAGAATACACATATGCACACACAAAATATACACATGCACACCCAAAACACACACACAAAATACAGACACATGCACATACACCCAAAACACACACTCAAAATATATACACACCCAACACACACACACTCAAAATACACCCCAAACACACACGCCCAAAATACACACGTGCACATACACCCAAAACACACCCACATCCAAAATACATACACCCTAAATACATGCACAACCAAAACACACACATACACATACCCGAAATACAGGCACAAACACCCAAAATACACCCTGAAAATATACACATTCCAAAATAAGCACATCCCCAAAATATACACATCCAAAATACATACACACAAATACACATACACCCAAAACACACATACCCCCACACCCAAAATATACCCCCCAAGAAACATATCCCACACACACATCTAAAATACACACACAACAAAATACATACACCCCAAAGTATACACACCCCAAATACACGCATAAAACACACACAAACCCAGAATACACACACCCAAAACACACAAACACACCGGAAACACACATACATCCAAGATACACATACACACACCCAAAATGCACACACTCAAAATACACACACAGGTGTCAGGATGATTACCTAGGATTCTGCAACCTGCTTTTTCAGTCCACAACATATGTGGGAAAAAATATTTTAACGTTGATGAATTAGAATATATACTGTGCTTCTTGCTGACTTCATAAATATCCACCATTTAAGCAGTTTCCAGTTCTCCATTTTAAACAATGCTCTGATGACACCCTCATGTACCCTTGCACAACTCTCTAATACTTCCAGGAAATAAGCAGTGATTGATTACTGATATGGACATTTAATTTTGATACAGATTACCAAAATGCACTCCAGAATAATTTTTACCAGTTTACCCTCCCATCAGCAATGCATGAGAACAATCAATCCCCAACTGCACCATCAACCTTGGGAACTGCCAGTTTTTTCATTTGTGCGGAGCAACAATGAAAATCTCATTATTTGACATGTTTTGCTTACTAGCAACACTGAACATACTGTCAAACGCTAACCTGACCTTTTGCATTTCTTTCTTTTGCAGACTGCTTGTTTTCTACCTGTTTTTCTAAAGCTTGACTTTTAACAACTAATTTATAAGAGCCGCTTTTTATTTTGGAAATATTGGGTTAATTTTCTGTCAGGTAGCTCTGCTGGAAATACTTTTCCTAAAACTTTTTCCTTCATCCTTGTTTTGGGAGTTTCATATTTTCAAGATCTTAAGCTTTGAGTTTCATATCGTGCTTAGCAAGGCACTCACCTTCCCAAACTACCAAGGTTATTTTACTCTAGCACGTCCTCCGCCTCCCAAGTTCAAGGTATTCTCCTGCCTCAGCCTCCTGAGTAGCTGCGATTACAGCGTGCACCACCACGCCGAGCTAATTTTGTATTTTGAGTAGAGATGAGGTTTCATCATGTTAGCCAGGCTGGTCTCTAACTCCTGACCTCAAGTGATCCGTCTGCCTCCACCTTCCAAAGTGCTGTGATTACAGGCGTGAGCCACGGCGCCTGGCCTCCAGTTTGTTTTCTAATTGTCTACAGTTGTCATATAAACAAAGTAATGATTTTTGTAATCTTACCAATATCCTTGATTTCATTTCCTGATTATCTAGAAAGAGAAAAAAGCAGAATAAAATTTAACTAAACCTTACTAAGCATATATGGCTTCCTAATCAATGTTTAAACAGTCCAGCAAAGACATCTGGTAAAATAAGTAGGATTACGGTTCTCATAGAAAAATGCGGGCTCTTACCTTTAATTTCCTTGTTCATTCTATGAATGTCTTAATTTTTTAACATTAAGGAATACAAAAATATTATTTTACTTCATACATATTTATAGTAAAAAGAAAAATAACCTCCAATTTTAAATAAACCTGGCATCTACATAGCTAAGAAAGGAAATTCGGCCAGGCGCGGTGGCTCACGCCTGTAATCCCAGCACTTTGGGAGGCCAAGGCGGGTGGATCACGAGGTCAAGAGATCGAGACCATCCTGGTCAACATGGTGAAACCCCGTCTCTACTAAAAACACAAAAAATTGGCTGGGCATGGTGGCGCGTGCCTGTGATCCCAGCTACTCAGGAGGCTGACGCAGGAGAATTGCCTGAGCCCAGGAGGCGGAGATTGCGGTGAGCCGAGATTGCGCCATTGCACTCCAGCCTGGGTAACAAGAGCGAAACTATGTCTCAAAAAAAGAAAAAAAAAGAAAATGAAAGGAAATTCTCCACTTACTAACACGAGAGCAATTGAGGGTTTCAGTTACTAACGCTGCAGTCAACTGGGCTTTGTAATCTGACCAAAATACAATCTTTGTCTCAGAAAATTAAAATTAGCAACACTTGACTCTCCTATTCTTATCTACCGTGTCCTAAATTTGAGTCCTGGGACAAGTATTGATTCACACAGATGTTCAGGCAACCCACATCAAACTCTAGGACAAAGGAATCACTCAATACTGTCCCTGCCCCCAAAATTAATGCCATAAGACTGAGAAAACGTCACACAGATAAAATGGAAAGGTATTGCCCTATGCTACGTGGAAAACAATCTGTACACCAATGGGGAAGTGGCCACTCATTTACTAAGCTTTAGGGCTCCTAAGCAGCTTTTAAAAGTCAAACACTGTTCCCAAGTCAAGAATATGAAAATGTTTTAAAAGTTCTAATTTATCAAAATAAGAAACAGGAAAGCAGCCTGAAGCAGCGCTCCCTGCAGGCAGAGAGACACAATGGAGAAGCTGGAGTTGTCTCACTCTTCACACTTCCAGTTTTTACGGCTTGTCTTAAAAAACATTTCAGAGCTGGCTGCGCATGGTGGCTCACACCTGTAATCCCAGCACTTTGGGAGGCTGAGGTGGGCGGATCACCTGAGGTCAGGAGTTCAAGACCAGCCTGGCTAACTTGGTGAAACTACATCTCTACAAAAATACAAAAAAATTAGCTAGGTATGGTGGCAGGCGCCTGTCTCAGCTACTCAGGAGGCTGAGGCAAGAAAATTGCTTGAATCCAGGAGGCGAAGGTAGCAGTGAGCCGACATTGTGGTACTGCACTCCAACTTGGGTGACAGAGTGAGACTCTGTCTCAAAAAAAAAAAAATTTCAAAGCCAATATAAACTATTTTTTTTTAAGTTACCCTCCACTTCAGGGTACTCACACCTCCCATTAATGGGCACCCAAGGTCCTAACAAATGTTGCAAGTTCATATATGTTTATTACAGAAGACACCTTCTAAATGATTCAGACACCAAGGATACAGCAAAGGGCTTTGGCCAGGGATCCTGCCAGCAGAGTTTCTGTATGTTGGCCCTTTATGTCACCTGTGAATAACAGAAAACATTTAAAAGGGAATATTTAAGTACTTGAACCAAGCATGCTTTCAAACCAAAGCATTCTTCATGAATGAAATCAAATAAGACATTTCGAACTAGGTTTAAAAACATAGCAATGTGTTCTTGGTAATGGTTAACTAAGCAGCTTTTTAACCTTTTCTCAATTTAAAACAGCCTGGTGTTTTTTCAGGGCCAGTGGAAGGGCAGGGGAAACAGGGAGTTAGTGTTTAATAGGTACAGAATTTCAGTTTGTAAAGATGAGAAAGTTCTCATCATGGATGGTGGTGATGGTTGCAAAACAAGGCAAATATACTCAACATTACTGTACATTTAAATATTGTTAAAATGCTACATTTTATGGTATGTAAATTTTACATTAAAAATTCTAAAAATTGGTAAAATGGCAAATTGTTACTTGTATTTACCACACAAACACAAAAAAGATCCTGCTTTTTCTTGGAAAGGTTCTAGTTTATTCCTGGTCTACCTAGTACAAAATGTCGTGCATAACTCTAGCACCCTGGCCAGGGCACCAAGCTCTGAGGCGCCCTGCCCTCCCTCTCCCACCATCCCCTCCTTCCCATCACTGTGCTCAGCCAGTGCAGGGAAGACTGGAGAAACTCCTTCCTCTTGCCATGAGAAGCAGGGAGCAGTTTGCCACTTGTTTGGTGACTCGGGTGAAAAAAGTCACTCAAGAAATCAAAATCCTAAAACTGCAGTTCAAGAGGGCAAGGAGCCCGGATTGACACTCCATGCCAATCAGCCTAGAGCTGGTCCTGGAGGACTGACACCCCATGGGTGAGGTCACCACAAAAGGTCTTGAACACTATACTGTGAGGCTGAGCTGGGACTTAATCCTGGAGGCCAGTGACTTTCAAAGTAAGATTTGGAACCAGCTATAGGGGCATCACCTGGGCCTGTACTAGAAATACAAATTCTTGGGACCTCCCTAGACCCAGTGAACCAGAAACTGTGAGTGAGGCTGACACTGTCTTAACAGGTTTATAATTTCCAAACCATAAAATTCTGGTCTGAAAGTACTTTTAGGTACACGATTCAATTATTTATAGTAAATTTACAATTAGGCAACCATCATCACACTCCAATTTTTGAACAGTTTCCATTACCCCAAAAGATCACTAGGGCCCATCTGCAATCACTCCCCTGTCCCTGCCCAGCCCTGGGCAACCACTAACCTACTTTCTGTCTCTCTAGAACTGCCTTTTTCTCAGGTGATTCTGATTTAAGCTAAAGTTTGAAAACCACCACCTGAAGGCAACAGGGAGCCAGGAAAGGCCTGTAAGCCCTGGAACCGTGGCTTTGGTTTTTAAGACGATAACCCTCTAGAGGCTGAGTGGAAAGACCTGACTGAGGAGACAGGAGTCAGAAACCCAGTTAGAAGCTCTACTTCATCTAGAGCAGTGGCTCTAAATGTGGGGTGAATGTGCTCTACAGGGAACACTGGGCAATGTCTGAAGATAGCTGGTTCTCACAACTAGGGGGTATTATGATGTCTAATAGTCCAAGGCCGGAAGTGCTGCTAAACATCCTACAATGCCCAGGACAGCTGCCACAACCAAGAATTATCCAGCCCAAAATGTCAACAGTGTTGAGGCTGATCATGACGACAGTAAGGGATGGGGGCTGGGTATGATGGCTCTCGCCGGTAATCCCAGCACTTTGGGAGGTGAAGGCAGGAGGATAGCTTGAGCCCAGGAGCTCGAGACCAGCCTGGGTAACATAGCGAGACCCCCATCTCTATTAAAAACAATTTTTTTAAATAAAAAATAAAAAGCTGACAATAAGGAGTGGGACTCTGGAGACCATTCTGAGGCTAAACGACTAGGATTATGTAGCTGATTATTATGTTGGTTATGAGGAGTCAAAAACGAAAGCTTTAAGTTTAGAAAACGAGGTAGATGGGGGCAGACAGAAATGGGGAATGGAAATGGTGTGACTGAGAACAAAGATAATGAGACTAGCTTGGGCCACGTCAAGAGACTGAGGACGCTGAAAAGGGGGCATTTGAGCTTGAAAGAAAGTCTGGGTTAGAGACAGAATTGGAAAGTGTCCGTAGATGAAAGATAATTAAAGGCAAAGTGGATGCGAACACAGAGGGAGAAAAGATGAAAATCACCTAGGGAATTAGGAACACATTTTAAGAGACAAGATAAAGGAAAAGCCAAAAATAGAGACTATGAAATAACGTTTCAAGAAAAGAAGAACAGGTCACAGGGCATTCTTAGAAGCCAAAAGGCATGTTTCAAGAAGTAAAGGCTGGTCAGCAGTGTCAAATGCTTGCCAAATAATGCACCGACTTTGATGAAAATGATTTTTCAAAAGATGCAACATGCAGATACACAGTATAAAGAACCTCACATCTTTGAACTTAAAGCCTAAAGGCCTCCAAAGCCAACTCTATTTACGAAATAACAATTTTTAAAAGCTGTTACTTTTGGTCATTAGATCTTTAATCTCTTCAGCAATAACTTCATTTGCTGAGGTTAAAAGTTCGTATTTTCCATCTTTACTCCCAGAGGGATTAAATTCAGAAGGAGGGTTGCCGGGGTCTCCGAAGAAGTCTCCAAGTCTGCCATTCTTTCCAGGATATAAGAATCGGCTGAAACAGCAGGGAGAAAAAACCTGGTTACACCAGGACTCACTGCCCATGCTCACTCATGATCAGAATGAAATTCAGCAGAGACACCAACAAAATCACGACAATCTGGGACTCACAAGATTCCACAGTAAATTTCGTTGTTTAAAAATGTCTAAGATAAAATTTAAAAAGAAAAAGGCATAAAAACAAAGAAAAAAATACATAAAATAGGCAAATTGGCAAACATTTGTCTATCACCACAGAATGTTTTACTGGTTCCAGTGTTTTCTGAAAAGTGTGGGGAAATAAAGAGGGTGTTGGGTTATAATCTCCAAAATGCTGCCGAGGGGTGCCCCATGCTTCCTTTCTCAAATGACAACAACAACTCACTACCAGTTTATTATTTAAGGTACACGTCTATCCCAGTAATAAAAATCTGGTCCAAAGGTCCCTGAAAAGATTCTCCTACTGATTCATGCCTTTTTTTTTTTTTTGAGACGGAGTCTGGCTCTGTTGCCCAGCCTGGAGTGCAGTGGCATGACTTCAGTTTGCTGTAACCCCTGCCTCCCAGGTTCAAGCGATTCTCCTGCCTCAGCCTCCTGAGTAGCTGGGATTACAGGGGGGCTGCCACCATGCCTGGCTAAATTTTTTGTATTTTTAGTAGAGATGGGGTTTCATCATGTTGGCCAGGCTAGTTTTGAACTCTTGACCTCAAGTGATCTGCCCGCCTTGGCTTCCCAAAGTGCTGGGATTACAGGCACTTTGAGGCACCGTGCCCAGCCCTTTTTTTTTTTTTGAGACACACTCTCTCTCTTGTTGCCCAGACTAGAGTGCAGTGGCATGACCTCAGCTCACTGCAATCTCCACCTTCTGGGATCAAGTGATTCTCATGCCTCCTGAGTAGCTGGAATTACAGGCATGTACCACCACGCCCAGCTAATTTTTTGTATTTTTAGTAGAGACATGTTTTCACTATGTTGGCTGCTATGAATGGCTGGTCTCAAACTCCTGACCTCAAGTGATCTGCCCAGCTGAACTTCCTGAAGTGCTGGGATTACAGGCGTGAGCCTTGTGACTTTTAACATAATCAGGGCTGGGCGCAGTGGTTCACGCCTATAATCCCAGCGCTTTGGGGGGCCAAGGCGGGTCAAGAGATTGAGACCATCCTGGCCAACATGGTGAAACCCCGTCTCTACTCCACTGCACTCCAACCTGGTGACAGAGGGAGATTCTGTCTCAAATAAAAAAAAAAGATAATCAGTTAGAGAACATTTTTGATTTTAAAAACAAAAACAAAAAAAACAAAACAAACTTTGCCTGGTATAGTTTTTATTGGTATTTTAACCAAACTAGCATCATCTTTTCATCCAATTCTGAGAAAAAAAAAGAGTATGTGTTTGGTGGCCCACGGGCTCTTTCACCCCACCAGAAGAAGCAGGCAGCCCTAAGAACCAAGAAAACCTGAGAGCTAGCCACATGCCTGAGAGCTAGCCACACACCTGAGAGCTAGCCACACACCTGAGAGCTAGCCACACACCTGAGAGCTAGCCACACGCCTGAGAGCTAGCCACACGCCTGAGAGCTAGCCATACGAAATATGTTAAGCAAGAGTCACTTCTACTGTAATGTGGTGATTAAGACACAGAAGAGCCAGGCGTGGTGGCATATCCCTATAATCCAAGCACTTGGGGAGGCTGAGGTAAAAGGATTGCTTGAGCCCAGGAGAGCAAGACCAGCCTGGGCAACATAGTGAGACCCCCATCTCTACAAAAAACACAAAAATTAGCTGAGTGTAGTGGTGCACACCTGTTGTCCCAGCTACTTGGGAGGCTGAGGCAAGAGGATCACTTATACCCAGAAGGTCAGAGGCTGCAGTGACCCATGACCGTGCCAGTACACTCCAGTCTAGGTGACAGAGCAAGACCCTGTCTCCAAAAAAAAAAGACAAAGAAGACATAGAAGAGCTGTGCCTTACGTGCACATTTAACTCTTGTGTCGGTACATCATGTGAGAAGTAAGTACCGTTTCAATTATTCATAAACTCTTGCTGTCTCTGTGGCCACATTTACATATCAGCTGCAGGCTATGCACCATCTTGCAGTGGGTCTAACACAGCCAGTTTCACACCAGTGTTAGAAACCACCACTGTTTCCTGGGCCAAGCACCAGATGGAGTAGTTGGCTTGGGTTTAGAAGCCAGTGTTATAAGAAAAATCCTTATTTCTTTTTTTTTTTTTTGAGACGGAGTTTCGCTCTTGTTACCCAGGCTTGGAGTGCAATGGCGCGATCTTGTCTCACCGCAACCTCCACCTCCTGGGTTCAGGCAATTCTCCTGCCTCAGCCTCGAGAGTAGCTGGGACTACAGGCACGCGCCACCATGCCCAGCTAATTTTTTGTATTTTGAGTAGAGATGGGGGGGTCTCACCATGTTGACCAGGATGGTCTCGATCTCCTGACCTCGTGATCCACCCACCTTGGCCTCCCAAAGTGCTGGGATTACAGGCTTGAGCCACCGCGCCCGGCCCAAAAATCCTTATTTCTAAACACCAGATCCACTCACAGAACAGGGAAACAGTCACGCCCTGAGAGCTATGCAGAACCAAGGGGAAACAGAATCACATCCCCCATTTTACTTGCACTCTCAGGCAGACACAAAATGAGAAGGCAGGTGAGGGAAAGTAGCTGCCCAATTTGATAGCTCTGTCTCTCTTTGCCTAAATAACATAGTTCAATCTGTGCAGGCTGGGCGCAGTAGCTCACGCCTGTAATCCCAGCACTTTGGGAGGCTGAGGCAGGCAGATCACGAGGTTAGGAGATCGAGACCATCCTGGTCAACATGGTGAAACCCTGTCTCTACTAAAAACACAAAAAATTAGCTGGGTGTGGTGGCACACGCCCGTAATCCCAGCTACTTGAAAGGCTGAGGCAGAACTGCTTGAACCCGGGAGGCAGAGGTTGAAGTGAGCCAAGATTGCACCATTGCACTCCAGCCTGGTGACAGAGCAATACCGTCTCATTAAAAAAAAAAAAAAAATCTGTGCAATTTACATGGGTCATACTATCTACCAATAATCAGGCTTGCAAAATTCATGGATATCACAATGTACATGTACTGGCTCTTGGTGCTGTGGCTGTTCATTGGTACAGAAGACATTTTCTTTTGCAGGAGAGTAGGAACAATACATGTCGACTGGCACAAAAAGCTCCTAAATGTTAAGCACTGAAGAGGAAAAGCAATCACAATGGTCATACCTTTCTTGAATGTGACTTGCTATCACAGCAAGCTTGTTGGAACGATTCATGAATAAATGAGAATTTCCTAGTACCATCACAGCATCCATGCATTTGGATAGAGTAAACTGTTAAAAAAAAAAAAAAAGATATTAGAAAAACAAATTAGCTATCCAAATAACTATGTCAGGTCTTGACATAATTTAAGATTTCGTTGCCGGGTGCAGTGGCTCAAGCCTGTAATCCCAGCACTTTGGGAGGCCGAGGCGGGTGGATCATGAGGTCAAGAGATCAAGACCATCCTGGTTAACATAGTGAAACCCCGTCTCTACTAAAAATACAAAAAATTAGCTGGGCATGGTGGTGCGTGCCTGTAATCCCAGCTACTCAGGAGGCTGAGGCAGGAGAACTGCCTGAACCCGGGAGGTGGAGGTTGCGGTGAGCCGATATCGCACCATTGCATTCCAGCCTAGGTAATGGGAGCGAAACTCCATCTCAAAAAAAAAAGATTTTGTTTAGGCTGGATGCAGTGGCTCAAGCCTGTAATCCCAGCACTCTGCAAGGCCAAGGTGGGAGGATTGCTTGAGTCCAGGAGTTTTAAGACCAGCCTGGGCAACATAATGAAACCTTAGCTCTATAAAAAATAAACTAAACTAGCCAGGCATGGTGGAGTGCACCTGTAGTCCCAGCTACTCTGGAGGCTGAGGTAGGAGGATTGCTTGAGCCCTGGAGATCCAGGCTGCAATGAGCCAAGATTGTAGTACCATACTGCAGCCTGGGCAACAGAGCAAGACCTGGTATTTAAAAAAAAAAAAAATGACTTCATTTAAATTTTAGACAAGTATTCACTGTTAAAAATTTGCTCAGGAGCTCCAAAGCCATAAACAAAAACACTTGAAAACTATAGTTTTCTAATTTTACTTATATGAAATCATTTCTACATCAGCACAATATTCCACAAGTATTTGCAGTGTAACATTTAAGGAATAACAAACATGTCACACATCTCCTGTGATAAAATTTCCAGCAAACTATTACTATATGTGGAGGAGATAATTAATACACACTGATAAAACTGAAGGTTTTTAAGCTTTTAATTCATTTGTTCACTAAGTATACTGAGCCACTACTCTATGTCTGGCATATACTTAGTGAACGACTTACTGGTTGCTCAGTATACTTAGTGGGTAAATGAATTAAAAACTTTCAAAGTTTGAAAAAACAAATAAAGAATATCCCTTCTTTCATCGAGCTCACCTTCCCATAAGAACTAATATTAAGAAATAAAATTCGGTATTTTTTTTGGTGCTCTGTATGTTCAGAGAAAGTTCTCTAGTAACAAAGAAATTATCTTTGAAGGCACAGTCTTCATAAATAGTTATTTTCATAACCCTGGAATAAGGCCTGCTTCTCTTAAAGAAATAGTTCAGGTAGAAAACAAAACACTGGTGGCCAGACATGGTGGCTCACGCCTGTAATCCCAGCACTTTGGGAGGCCGAGACAGGCGGATCACCTGAGGTCAAGAGTTGGAGACCATCCTGGCTAACATGGCAAAACCCCGTCTCTACTAAAAATACAAAAATTAGTAGGGTGTGGTGGCCCGTGCCTGTAGTCCCAGCTACTCAGGATGCTGAGGCAGGAGGATTGCTTGAGCCCAGGCGGTAGAGGCTACAGTGAGCTGAGATCATGCCACTGTACTGCAGCCTGGGTAACAGAGTACGACTCCATCTCAAAAAAAAAAAACCACTGGTAAATTTCACCCTACTGGAAAAACAACTTAAATCTATTAAAATTTCTATTTGGCAAAAAGTGACGATATAAATAAAAGTGAAAGAAGACAAGTTACAAACTAGGAAAAAAATAGTTACAACACATGACAAGTAATGGGTTAATCCTTTAATACAAAAAGCGTCCATAAATCACTAATTTAAAAAAAGCACACACAATGAACACCAAAAGAAAAAACTGGGTGACGTCCCAAGAGAAATCTAAATGGCCATGAAATACACTAAAATTAAATTGAGATTACATTGTTTTTTGCACCTCATATTGACAAAAGATGAAATAAGGAGAAAGAACAATCTTGTGTTGGTACAAGGAAAAAGTACTCTCATAACCACTGGTGAGTGCAAACTCAGCCTTTCTGGAGAGTAACAGGGCAGCATGCAGTGACGTGCTGGCAGATGCTTAACTAGTCGCCCCCCAAAAGCTAGCACACATGTACACAAGTACATATGGATATTACTGATATAGCAGGAAGTAGCACACAGTTTACAAATAGCAATGAAATGCACAATACCCTTTAGGGGAAATTCCATACAACCAATGGATTCTCACAGAATGCCTATATTGATTTTTGCTGAATTCTTGTATCCATAGCCAATTGAAAAATCAATACGGTTTCAACTGAAAAATGAGTATAGTTCTAACATGAATACTGTGTGATTTTTTTTTTGTTAACAAGAGAAACAATGCTTATACTTGGCATAAGCAACTATGTAAGTAACTACTATAAACACTGTGTTATGAGGTTTGTAATATACACAGGTGTAATATATATGACAATAAGAACGCGGGGAAGGGGTGGAAATGGATCTATATCAGACCAAAGCCTCTACATTTTACTGGAATTAAAAGAGTATTAATCTAAAGTAGACAATGGTAAGATACATACTGTAATCCCTAGACCCCCTGTTGTGGGTTGAATTATGCCCCTGCAAAAGATAAGTTCAAGTCCTAACTTCTGGTACCTGTGAATGTGATGTTATTTGCAAACAGAATCACTGCAAATAAAATCAAATGAGAAGAGGTCACACTGGAGTAGGAGGCACGCTAATCCAAGGACACCAATGTTCTTAGAGGAGAAAACGGAGACACTCAGGGAGGAGACAGCCCCATGTGATGACACAGTCGGAGACTGGACTGAGGTATCTTCAAGCCAAGGAACGCTAGGGACTGCAGCAACCACCAGAAGTCAGAAGAGGCAGGGAAGATCCTCCTGTACAGGTTTCAGAGGAAGCACCTCGACTTCTAGCTTCCACCACAGAGACAGTTCTATTGTTTTAAACCACCAAATTTGTGATACTTGGTTTTGGCGGCCCTACTGAATGAATAGAGCAACCAGTAGGAAAATAACTGAAGGAAGGATGCAGTGGCTCATGCCTATAATCCCAGCAGTTTGAGAAGCCAAGGCAGGCAGATCATTTCAGGTCAGGAATTAGAGACCAGCCTGGACAACGTGGCAAAACCCTGTCTCTACTAAAAATACAAAACTTAGCCGTGTATGGTGGCACCCGCCTGTGAGCCCTGCCCCTCGGGAGGCTGAGATGACAGTGAGCCGAGATGGTGCCACTGTACTCCAGCCTGGGTGACAGAGCAGTCTCAATTAAAACAAAAACAAAAACAGGGAAAAACGGACTGGACACATGGCTCCTGCCTGTAATCCCAGCACTTTGGGAGGCCAAGGCAGGCAGATCACTTGAGGTCAGTTCGAGACCAGTCTGGTCCATATGGTAAAACTCAGTCTCTACTAAAAATACAAACATTAGCCAGGTGTGGTGGTGGGCGCCTATAGTCCCAGCTACACGAGAGACTGAAGCAGGAGAACTGAGGTGGAGGTTACAGTGAGCAGAGATCACACCACTGCACTCCAGCCTGGGTGACAGAGCAAAACTCCATCTCAAAAAAACAAAAAACAAAAAACAAAAAAAGAAATATACAATTCAACAATACTTCATTTCAATACTCTATTCTCGATAATTTTTTTTTTTTGAGACAGGGTCTTGCTCTGTCTCCCAGGTTGGTGTGCAGTGGCACTGTCATGGCTCACTGAAGACTCAACCTCTTGGGCTCCAGTGATCCTCTCAGCCCCCCAAGTAGCTGGGACCATAGGCACACTATCAACCAACTTGAACTAACAGACATTTATCGAACACTTCACTAGAAACAGAGAATGCATATTGTTTTCAAGTAGACATGCAACATTCTCCAGAACAGAACACAGAATTGGCCAGACATCAGTAAACTAGTTTTGTGAAGGGCCAGAGAGTAAATCTTTTAGGCTTTTTGAGCCATGCAATCTTTATTGCTACTCAACTCTGCTGTTGTAATGCAAAGCTGTGACAGAAAACATACATATTTATGAGTGAGGCTTATTTATAGATCCAGAAATTTGAATTTCATATAATTTTTTTTTGAGATGGAGTTTCACTGTTGTTACCCAGACTGGAGTGCAATGGCACAATCTCGGCTCACCGCAACCTCTGCCTTCTGGGTTCAAGCAATTCTCCTGCCTCAGCCTCCCGAGTAGCTGGGACTACAGGCACGCACCACCATGCCCAGCTAATTTTTGTATTTTTAGTAGAGATGGGGTTTCACCTTGTTGACCACGACGGTCTCGATCTCTTGACTTCGTGATCCACCCGCCTCGGCCTCCCAAAGTACTGGGATTATAGGCGTGAGCCACTGCTCCCGGCTCATATAATTTTCAAGTCACAAAAATATTATTCTTCTGAATTTATTTTAAACCATTCAAAAGCAGAAGACAGCTCACCTGTAATAAAAAGAACAGACAAGAGGCCAGATCCGGCTCATGGACCCTAGTTTGTCAGCCCCTATGCTAGGCTATAAAACAAGCCTTTCTTCTTTTTGAGATAGGGTCTCACTTCGTCACCCAGGCTGGAGTGCAGTGGCATGATCTAAGCTCACTACAACCTCTGCCTCCTGAGTAGCTAGGACTACAGGCACGTGCCACCACACCTGGCTAATTTTTTTGTATTTTTCGTAGAGATGGGGTATCACCATATTGGCCAGGCTGGTCTCCAACTCCTGACCTCGTGATCCGCCCATCTCAGCTTCCCAAAGTGCTGGGATTACAGGTGTGAGCCATCATGCCCAGCCTGGAAGTTTCTAAAAAAGTTACACATCTACCTGTATGACCCACCATTCTACTGCCAAATATGTACCCAAGAAAAACAAAAATATATGTCTATAAAAAGACTGGTATATGACTGAGCGTGGTGGCTTATGCCTGTAATCCCTACACTTTGGGAGGCCAAGGCAGGTGGATCACTTGAGGTCAGGAGTTCGAGACTAGCCTGGCCAACATGATGAAACCCCATCTCCACTAAAAATACAAAAAATCAGCTGGGTGTGGTGGCACGTGCCTGTAATCACAGCTACTCAGGAGGCTGAGGCAGGAGAATCGCTTGAACCGAGAGGCAGAGGTAGCAGTGAGCCGAGATCGTGTCACTGCACTCCAGCCTGTGCAACAAGAGCAAAACTCCATCTCAAAACATAGATACATAAATAAAAATAAATAAATAAGAAGACCGGTATACAAATGTTCATAGCACCTTTATCCGCAATAGACAAAAATTCGAACGAACCTAAATATCCATGAACAAGAGAAGATACAAACAAATTGTGGGATATCTATATAATGGAACACTAGCAATAAAAATAAATAAACTATGGATGCATATAACATTAACAAATCTCAAAATAATTATGCTTAGTTGGCTGGGAACAGTGGCTCACACCTGTAATCCCAGCACTATGAGAGGCCAAGGTGGGCATATCACTTGAGGTCAGGAGTTCAAGACCAGCCTAGCTAACATGGCAAAACCCCATCTCTATTAAAAATACAAAAATTAGCCAGGTGTGGTGGCACACACCTATAATCCCAGCTGCTCAGAAGGCTGAGACAGAAGAATCACTTCAACCCTGAAGGTGAAGGCTGCAGTGAGCCAAGATCATGCCACTGCATTCCTGCCTGGGTGACAGAACAAGACTCTGTCCCCCCAAAAAAAAACAAAAACAGGCCAAAAAACCTCCCCACTATATACTGTTTGGTTCCATTTACATAAAAAAAATCTAGACTTTGGGAGGCCGAGGCGGGTGGATCACGAGGTCAAGAGATCGAGACCATCCTGGTCAACATGGTGAAACCCCGTCTCTACTCAAAATACAAAAAATTAGCTGGGCATGGTGGTGCATGCCTGTAGTCCCAGATACTCGGGAGGGTGAGGCAAAAGAATTGCCTGAACCCAGGAGGCGGAGGTTGCGGTGAGCCGAGATCGCGCCATTGCACTCCAGCCTGGGTAACAAGAGCGAAACTCCGTCTCAAAAAAAAAAAAAAAAATCTAGAAAATGCAAACTAATCTATAATAACAGAAAGAGATCAAGAGTTGCTTGGCAGTGAGGACAGGCAAAGAAAGTGTGGTAGAGAGTGGGACTAGATTACCAACAATCATGAAGAATCAGCCAGGTGTGGTGGCTCACTCCTCTAATCCCAACACTTTAGGAGGCCAAGGCAGGCAGATCATATGAGGCCAGGAGCTCGAGATGAGCCTGGCCAACATGGCAAAAACCCCGTCTCTACTAAAAACACAAACAATTAGCTGGGCGTGGTGGTGTGTGCCTGTAGTCCCAAGTACTTGGGAGGCTAAGGCATGAGAATCACTTGAAACTGGGAGGCAGAGGTGCAGTGAGCCAAGACTGCATCACTGCACTCCAGCCTGGGCGACAGAGCGAGACTCCATCTAAAAAAACAAAACAAACAAACATTAACTCAAAATATGACAAAGGCTGGGCATGGTGGTACATGTCTATCTTCCCAAGTCAGAAGGCTGAGGCAGGAGGATTTCTTGAGAACAGGAGATTGAGGCTGCAGCGAGCCATGATCACACCACTGTACTCCAGCCCAGGTGACAGACAGCTTGTCAATAAAATAAAAAATAAAAATAAAAAAATAGAGACAAATACCTCATATTCTCACTTATAAGTGGGAGCTAAAAAAATATGATTACATGGGGTAGAAAGTGGAATGATGACAGAGACTAGAAAGGATGAGTGGGGAGGGAACAGGAGAGGATGAAGACAAGTAGGTTACGGGGACGAACGCACAGTAAGACAGAGAAATAAATTCAGCCAGGCACGGTGGCTCACCCCGGTAATCCCAGCACTTTGGGAGGCGGAGGCAGGTGGATCACAAGGTCAGGAGTTGGGAGACCAGCCTGGCTAACATGGTGAAACCCCATGTCTACTAAAAAAAACAAAAATAGGCCGGGCGCGGTGACTCAAGCCTGTAATCCCAGCACTTTGGGAGGCCGAGGCGGGTGGATCACGAGGTCAACAGATTGAGACCATCCTGGTCAACATGGTGAAACCCTGTCTCTACTAAAAATTACAAAAAATTAGCTGGGCACGGTGGCGCATGCCTGTAATCCCAGCTACTCAGGAGGCTGAGGCAGGAGAATTGCCTGAACCCAGGGGGTGGAGGTTGCGGTGAGCCAAGATCGCGCCATTGCACTCCAGCCTGGGTAACAAGAGCGAAACTCCGTCTCAAAAAAAAAAAACAAAAATAAGCTGGTCATGGCTACTTGGGAGGCTGAGGCATGACAATCTCTTGAACCCGGGAAGTGGAAGTTGCAGTGAGCCGAGAACGCGCCATTGCACTCCAGCTCTAGGCAACAGAGCAAGACTCAGTCTCAGGAAAAAAAAAAAATATATATATATATATATATATTTATAGATAGATAGATATAGATATATATAGACACACATATGTAAATTCAATGTTTGATAGCACAATACGGTGACTGTGCTTAAAAATTATGTATTGCACCGGCATCGTGGCTCACCTCTGTAATCCCAACACTGTGGGGGGCTGAAGTGATGGGGTTACAGGATGATTCAGGAGGACTGCTTGAAGCCGAGAGTTCAAGACCAGCCTGGGCAACATGGTGAGAACCTGTTTCTTCTAAAAACACAAAAATTGACCAGGCATGGTGGTGTACACCTGTAATACTGGCTACTCAGTAGGCTGAGGCCAGAGAACTGCTTTAGCTCAGGAATCTGAAGCTGCAATGGGCTGTGGTGGCACCACTTCATTCCAGCCTGGGCAACAGAGCAAGACTCCTGTCTCAAAAAAGACAAAACAAGGAAAAATTATCAATATGTCAGCAACTTGGATGGATCTCAAGGGCATTATGCTGGATAAACAACAGCCATTCTCAAAGATTACCTACTGTATGATCTATAGACAAAACAGAATTACAGAAATGGAGACCCGATTGGTGTATTTGTGTTTGCTGGGGGTTGGAGATGGGGACTAGGAAGGTCTGTAACTAGAATGGGGCTCCTTTGTAGTAAGGCAACAGTTCCATATCCTGATGGTGGAGCTGGTGAACACACAGATCGATGAATGTGGTAAAACTGCACAGAACTACACACACAGAAAGACACACTCACACAAACACACACACACACAAGTGAGCGCATATAAAACCTGCAATCTAATTAAGTCTGTAGATTGCACTGATGGTTTCAATACTGTACTATAGTTATGGAAGAACTTGAGTGATAGGTCTCTGTACCTTTTCTGGTTTCCTATGTCTATATTACTTAAAAGTAAAATATTTCAAAATAGAAAGTATTTAAGACCACATATTGTATGGAATCAATACATGAAATGTCCAGAAAAGGGAATTTAGAGACAGAAGGCAGATGAGCGGTTGCCTGCAGCTTGGACACAGAAGCAGGGACTGACTGCAAACAGGCATGAGGGAGCGTTATCCAGTTAACTAAACATTCTAAAGCAGAAATGTGGGGCTGGGTATACAACTTTGCAAATTTACTTTAAAAAAATCACTAAATTGAACAGTAGCTGAATCTTATAGTATGTAAATTATACTTTAATAAAGCCATCTTTTAAAAAAGCAATATACTCAGTTAAACCAGAATTATCCAAAGGCCTCGAGCAGTCTTACCTGAGATTCCTTTAATGCTTGCTTTCCCCACCAAATTGGGTTTGCATCAACTACAATAACCAGAAGATTCCATTCATCTTCTGAAAACATTAACAAGAAATAAAATTTAAAATATTAGTTTCATAAAAATGCATCAAAGCTAACATTCCCAATTCATAAATTAAATCAAGAGGACCACTGTCTGCCTTTAAATGTTTATCACATTATGAGATTAACAGAAGACCCAGTTAAAGTTTTTTTTTGCTTGAAAACTTTATTAAAATAAGGAATAAACCTGAAAAAAGAGCAATGAGAATGCCTGCCCTTTGCACAAAATCAGCAAGAGAAAGGAAACAGGTAGAAAGTTTTAAAGCACACTGGGTCCTTAGCAAGCTCTTGACTACTTCCCGAACCACTGTATCTCTTATACACTAAATGTAAACTCTGTGAGGGCGGGAATTTTTGCCTCTTTTCTTCACTGCTTCTCCTCATTCTAGCACACTGCAGCTGCTCAATAAATATCTACCGAATGAGGGTCAGGCGTGGTGGCACAGGCCTGTAGTCCCAGCACTTTGGGAGGCCAAGACAGGCGGATGGCTTGAGCACACAAGTTCGAGACCAGCCTGGGCAATATGGCAAAACCCTTTCTCTACTAAAAATACAAAAATTAGGGCCGGGTGCAGGGGTTCATGCCTGTAATCCCAGCACTTTGAGAGGCCGAGGCGGGGAAATCACTTGAGGTCAGGAGTTCCAGACCAGCTTGGCCAACATAGTGAAACCCCGTCTCTACTAAAAATACAAAAAAAAAATTTAGCTGGGTGTGGTGGTACACGCCTGTAATCCCAGCTACTTGGGAGGCTGAGGTAGGAAAATCGCTTGAAGCTGGGAGACCGATGTTGCAGTGAGCTGAGATTGTACTCTGCATTCCAGCCTGGGTGACAGAGCAAGACTCTATCTCGGGGGAGGAGGGGAGTTAGCTGGGCGTGGCGACACATGCCTGTAGTCCCAGCTATTCAGGAGGCTGAGGTGGGAGGATCGTTTGAGACCAGGAAGTTGAGGCTCCAGTGAGCCATGTTCCTGCCAATGCACTCCAACCTGGGAGACAGAATGAGACCTGGTCAGAAAAACAAAACAAAACACCACTTACTGCATTTTGAATGCCTGGTCAAGGACAGAAGGCACCGGTTAACCAGTAGTAGGAATCCCAGTGGTAGAATTTCAGGCACAAAAAATTAAAAGGAGGCTTGCTTAGGTGTCAGTATGGCCCATACTCATAAAATCATGTAGCAGCAAGGCCAATTATAATTAAGTGACTGTTTAAAAGGTAAAAAAAACAGGCTGGGCATGGTGGCTTATGCCTGTCATCCCAGCACTTTGGGAGGCTGAGGTGGGCAAATCACCTGAGGTCAGGCGTTTGACCAGCCTGGCTAACATGTCGAAACCCTGTCTCTACTAAAAATACAAAAAAAATTAGCCCAGTGTGGTGGTGCATGCCTGTAATTCTAGCTACTCAGGAGGATGAGGCAGGAGAATCAACTGAACCTGGGAGGCAGAGGTTGCAGTGAGCTGAGATTGTGCCGCTGCACTTCAGCCTTGGTGACAGAGCAGGACATTTTTTTTTACTCTTCAAAAAAAAAAAAAAAAAAGAGAGGGGAAAGCAATTCCTATGTAAAGATTTTACTGTGAAAAGGAATTCTATTCTCCAAACTAAACAGGCTACCATAACACATTAATCGTTCGTTTGGATTTTTGTTTTCTGATTTTTGTTAAGAGATGGGGTCTCGATAAATTGCCTAGGCTGGTCTTGAAATCCTGGGCTTGTGGCCCTCCCTCATCGGCCTCCCCAGTAGTGAGGACTACACGCACACGCCACCCCAAACACATTAATCCTTCAACAAACTTTTACACTACCGGTGTTAGGTCTTGGGGATACTGAGTCCAAGCCCTCAAAGAGCCTATACTCTAATTGAGGTGACAGACAGACATACAAACCTATTAAGTACACACCGTTAGAAAAGCCCGGGATGCTCATTTATTTATTTCTGTATTTTTAAACAATTTTTTGAGACAAGGTCTCTCTCTGTCACTCAGGTTTGAGTGCAGTGGCACGAATATAGCTCACTGCAGCCTCAACCTCCTGGGCTCAATCGCCCGCATAGCTGGGACCACAGGCATGCACCATCACACCCAGCTAATTTTTAAATTTTCTGTAGAGAAAGGTCTTACTTTGTTGCCTATGCTGGTCTTAAACTGCTGGGCTCAAGCGATCCTCCCACCCCGGCCTCCTGAAGTGTTGGGATTACAGGCATGAACCACTGTCCCGGCTCCAGGATGCTCATTTAATAGCAAAGAGCGGCAATGCCTTTCCTGGCTCCGTATCTTCCTTCCTGCAGTCCTGTCTCCTACATTAGGAAAATCTCCACCCATCTTTGATTTCTGCATATTCAAATCCCAATTATTCTTCAAGGCCCCAAACTAATGCAAACTCTTTCTTCCAGCAGGTCATGGCTCCCCTATCTCAGAGGAGCAGGAATGCCAGCCTCCTCTGCACCAAGCACTGGAATCTGTAATCCCCAAATCCCATTCCATCCCGACAACCATCCAGCAAGGGACGTTTTACCGCCATCAATTATAAGATGACCCCTACTCCTTGTTTTTAACATTTAATAGTTGTTGACATCTGAATGGCGTCCTTATCATTAAGATTGGTGGCACTGTTTCTTTCTTAGTGGTGAATTAAATCAGGGCACATCTCATAATCAATATTATTTTAGATTAGCTGGAATATGATGCATGGTATTCCCATTTTGTAAATGAAAGTAACTTTTCCTAAGTCACATATGGTCTCCTGGCAAGTGACAAGGCCAAAGCCGTGTTCTAAAGATAGGTCTGCTTGATTCTAAAGACTGTGGCTCTTCCCTGCTCCACTGTCCACCTCTGACCAGCACCAGCTCTAACTGACCCTCTTCTAATGACACTCAGCACTTACTATTTCATTTTACAGTTAGCTGTGTTTCTGATCTCTCTTCCCAGTCCTGCCCACTTAGAGGGTGGACTTCTTAAAGAATAATGGATTTTACTAATCTTAGGATAAAATAACGTATGGAAATCAGGACTAGCGGCGTGGCTCACACCTGTAATCCCAACACTTTGGGAGGTCAAGGCAGGAGGATCACTTCAGCCCAGGAGTTAGAGACCAGCCTGGGCAACATAGTGAGTCCTCATCTCTATTATTTTAAATAGAAAAGCAAAACAAAAAAAATGTCTAAGTCACAATGAAGTGCCTAGGACAGAAGCACTTAATATAGCTGTGTCTGCTAGACAGAAAAAGTGTTGCCTGTAAAGAAAGGTGTGCATCTATACACATGCAATGTCCCTGTGAATTTCCTTCTTTAGTTCACTACCTTATTTGCAGACAGGGGCGATGTCAGGCCTGCCTCCCTCACAGGGTTGTGGTATGGTTTCACATCAATTTAGAGAGGATGGACAATTATTACAGTTCCTTTTTTTTTTTCTTTTTGAGATGGAGTCTCACTCTATTGCCCAGGCTGGAGTGCAATGGCGTGATCTCGGCTCACTGCAACCTCCACCTCCTGGATTCAAGCGATTCTCTTGCCTCAACCTCCCAAGTAGCTGGGATTACAGACATATGTCACCATGCCCAGCTATTTTTTGTATTTTTAGTAGAGACAGGGCTGGTCTCGATCTCTTGACGTCACGATCCACCCACCTCAGCCTCCCAAAGTGCTGGGACTACAGGTGTAAGCCACCACACCCAGCCTATTACAGTTCCTGAAAGGATTTCCCATCTCTATTCTTGCTCCCCACAGTCCAATTTCCACACAACAGCCAAAGTGATCTTTTAAATTGCAAATCAGATCATAATACTTCCTGGCTTCAAACTCTACAATGTCTTTGTATGGCACCTAAAAATAAGGTCTATCAGGGCCAATAAGGCCCTGTATGACTGAAACTGACTGATTCTCTGATCTTATCCCTCTACCCTCCTTTTTCTTTAAGGCATCAGGCTCTATATGTGGTAGTTTAATGCACAAATGAGTCTCCCCACCATCCTCTACCCAGAAGGTCTTCATTTCTCTCTTCTCAGTGTAACTCGGTGGCTCAATCTGCCACAGGATCTTTGCACTTAAAGTGCACTTCCCCCAGAACTTCGCAGAATCATTCAAGTCGGTTTCAATATCCTTCTCTTTTCCTAGACCTCTATCTAAAACAGCTCCTCCCTGATCCTACTCACAATGTACTATTCTAACTAGGACCATACTATTACATCACCTTCATAGCTCGTCATCCTTTGAAAAATATATTTTTTAATTATTATTTTTTTGAGACGTAGTCGTGCTCTATCGCCAGGCTGGAGTGCAGTGACGCGATCCCGGCTCACTGCAACTTCCGTTTTCCGGTTTCAAGCAATTCTTCTGCCTCAGCCTCCCAAGTAGCTGGGACTACAGGCAGGGACCACCACGCCCGGCTAATTAATTTTTTGTACTTTTAGTAGAGATGGGGTTTCACCATGCTGGCCAGGATGGTTTCGATCTCTTGACCTCGTGATCCGCCCTCCTCGGCCTCCCAAAGTGCTGGGATTACAGGCGTGAGCCACCGCGCCCGGCCTTTTAAAATTTTTTTATTGCCGAGGTCGTGCCCTGTCGCCCAGACTGGGTATCGTGGTGCGATCATAGCTCACTGAAGCCTTGAAATCCTGGGCTCAAGTGATTCTACCGCCTCAGCCTCCCGGGGAGTAGCTAGTACCAGAGACACGCGCCACCACACCCGGCTAATTATTATTATTATTATTATTATTATTAGAGATGGAGTCTGGCTGTGCTGCCCAGGCTGGTCTTGAACTCTCTGGTTCAAGTGATTCTCTTGCCTCGGCCTCCCAAAGTGTTGGGATTACAGGCCTAATCCACCGCGCCCGGCTGAAATTATTTTCGTCTGTCTCACCTACTAGATTAACCTCCACGAGGGCCCCTGTCTGTCACGATCTCTGCTCCAATGCAAAAAATAACGCCTGCACACAGGAGGCGATCCAAAAATATTTACTGAATGAATGAATGCCTTGGCTACTCCTCTAAACACCAAA